CAAATCCCGAGCTTTGCCCGTTTTCGGATACAGGCGAGAATCCATCTGAGGAAACTTCTGAATCACGACGTCCAATAGTGATTGGTGGTACATTGCTATCCTTGTGGAAGGGATCTTCGACAATACGTGCAGAGTTGAAGTCAGGGAAAAGCTCAGGGCCAAGGGTGTTGATTAAGTCTGTAACTTCAATTGAAAGCTGTGCGCGCCTTTGGCGGAGTTTAACAATGGTGTTGGCAGATGTAGGGTTCAGAGATAAGACTAGCGGTCGAAGAGACTTAAAGATGTCCATCCCAATCTCACCAAATCTTAGTGCGGCAAAGGTGATTGTAGGGAATAGAATCCACCCAAATATCGCAACGCAAATAATCGGCACCCAATCCGGCATTAAACCAAATACTCTATGGCTGTAGGTCCAATAGCAAAGGATAACGACGTAAAAGTTGTATAGAACCGGGGCAAAAGCCAAGGCAACAAGAAGCTTCCAAGTAGCCATGACATCTTTTCCTTGGACCTTAACAGTAGAAGCTTTAAGAGCTTCCACTGCCTTCCTTCGGGAGATGATCTTTGTAGCTATAAAAACCGGCCCGAAGAGAATAAATCCCGGGAGAGCGCCAAGAGCGAGTACTGCTAGTTTACCAATACGGTAGATTAAAGTAAAAACCACCCGGAACACCGAGAACTTGGCATACTCTACTTGGTGATCTCGAAGACCAAGAAGGCGGAGTTGGCGATTGTACTCGGTAACCGATCCTCGGAGATGTATTATACGGGGGTCATCCTTGTAGTGAGTGTATCCAGTTACCAGTCTTCTATTCAACTCAACTACCATCGGAAGGGGCAATTTCTTGTTGGTAGGCTTGTACAGTCTCCTTGCAGCTTGGATAGCCTAGAAAAATCAGCACCAAAAAATGAAATGGTATCAGGAGCTCATAAGCACGCACCATGAGTGTATCATAATCCGGTGAGGGAACAGTAACTGATACTAATCCGTTGTAAATCATTTCCAAAAGGGCCCTGACAGCTTCACGTTTCTCTCCTCTCGAATATTGTTCCACAAGCTCTTTCGGGACATCGATGGGTGCTCCAAATTCGATAACGGCCCGTGACCGAAATTTATGCGCATGGAAATAATTCATTCCTGTTGGCACGATTTTAAGGCCACAGTTTGGATTTGCAGAGAGGGCACCGAGAGCCATGATAGCCACACCAGCTGTAGGTATGTCAGCCAGCTTACTTAAATCGGACGGAAGCGAGTCGCCACCAAATAATGACCAACCCAAGTGCAACATAAAAACGTACCTTTCAGAGGCAATAATTCCGTTCTGTCGTGACTACCACCCTCCGGAAAAATGCCTACGCAACCCCCAGAGTTCAATCTGTGAAATACAGCATCATATACCTCAGTCTGATCGACCTTCGGTGCAACTTTATATTTGGTTCCCTTCCCCTCATTAGACTCCTGCTGCAATTGTCGTAAAGCCACATCGCCCTTGAAAGGTTTCTTGAGTATTATCTCGGTATCACTTAAGATTTCTGCAACATCGGTGCTAGCGCCTGCCTGCCCCGGGACGGACGGCAATGTCAATGAACCGCCGGTAGTAACTTCCGTAGTAAACTTTGTCCCAACACCACGAATCTTAAGAGGCTGGCCTTCAGCATCCGGAAGATAAATGCGACCCTGCCCGGCCTTCGCTAAGTCCTGAGAGCGTGATACGGGAACAGCGCCGACACAACGAGAAAGCCAACCGATGAACTTGCGGCGCATGGATTTTTCGGCAACAAGAAAAGCGATACGGCGTCGTGATTCGAGCCGGACGGCTCGCATGAGAATGAGAGGATCAACAAACTATGGGACGAATTAGTATCGAGGGGTAAGGCAATCGGTCCTGGAGATAAGTACCTGATTTGCATGGGGAGCGGCGACAAAGATTATAGGACCTCTCTTCGGAATCCGAAAAGCACCACGGGGGTGTACTTCTCTGAAGAAGAGGTCAACAAGAACTAGTAAAACGGATCAAATATCAGTATCTTGTTGTTTGGACTTTTATCGTCGCCTCCTTTCAAAAACCACCAAAACACATATCACATACCCGAAAAGGACCATAACACGACATCGTAGACCCAGTTGACCATAGGCGCGAACTCTTCCTTCTTCTTGGGCGCCATTTTGAATAACTCTGTTATGGTCAACCCCTTGAAGGTCAAGAGAGAGAGGTGTGGGTGTAGGTGTAGAAACGAATGGTAGGATGTTTAGGCGGAGTTGCTGTCTTCTTATTAATAAGGCAGAAACCAAGTTATATGCTTGTAGTTTCCGTGATGATGTGGTCTCTCCAAGTTTTCAGGCAGAGGCAGCAGTATGTAGTTTTTGAAAGCGTCGGCATGCGGAGCTCTGGATGGCGATACTCGGCTGTAGATGATATTAGAATATGAAGGAAACTCATAATCCTGGATGCAGTCAATCTCCGTGGCAATATTTCACCGCCACATGCTGTGGCTAGGAGACATTCATATGGTATCCCAACAACACGTGTGAGATGAAACCTTTCATTGCGACCCAGGCCATGCACATCCACTAAAAGGGAATTCTCATCTCTACCTGACAGGAGAAATTTTACTTCTCCTTGCCCCTTATTTCATAAATGCAGTGAGGGATTTCATTCCGAAGGACCTGTGTGGACAAAGATATCTGGCTTGTATCGATGTGCTTTAGAGCACCTGTAAGTACCATGTTTTCTGTCCCCGCTTCCTGATGACAGGAGATTAGGAGCAGATGGTCGCCCCCGAAAATAGAACATGGTGATTACCGAGGATCCAAACGCAGACTTCAGTGGCACTACATACACAGCCACCGAACTTAAACGGCCCAGCGGTCAAAAAGAAAAAGGACACCTATCGGCCCAAAGCTTAAGTTCACTTAACAACTCTGATAGGTTATGGAGGAGGTCCAAGCCGAAAACAATGATCGCTGGCACTTACCTATCGCAGTTCGGGATGCACAGGCGGTTATCTGCACGCATTTCTTGGTAACCTACTCTACATGTACCTAGATACTTTGAATGCAGATAAGAATTGGTCGCTACCTCGCGCATACGTGACTTATGTTCAAAATATGATATGTTATCTGTTTATGAAGTAGAGTTCTCAATAATTACTAGAATGTTTCGCAGGCTATCCAGCATGCTGTTTCTAATCAACAAATATCGGATACCGTGGCCACAAGCGAATTCGGATTCTTCGGAATCCCGGCAGCCTCTTTCGAACGGGTGTGTGTTTAAGCCAAAACGTCCTCGCACCCAGTGTTGATGATAACAAGAAGCAGCTTCATAGAGAAAAGTAAAATATTTTCCAGAAAAATCCTAATATGTAATCAGTCCAAAACCTAGATCTCATGTGGTCGGATGGGGCCGGGAGATGTTATATATCTATGCTTATAGAGAATAAATATCTCTTTTAAAAAAAATTCTACCGTCTGTTAGGTATCACAGCAGTTGCTCCGTTGAGATTCATATATATGGGATGTATATACTTACTTCACACATTATCACTCGTTAGGACCCTAGTGTTTGCACAAGCCACAAATTTACTGACTATGCCCGGTTAGTCCAAATCATTCCCCCCGAAAACCACGCTTCGTGTCATTTTGTACAAATCAAGGTTTAAACTAAATTTAGCAGAAACCCCCAAATGAACTAAAGAAACAGTACGAGTTCCATATGTTCTGCTTAGTTGGCGACCTGGCCACCAAAGTACACACGGTTCCGCTAGCACGTACCACATCCTAGGGGCTTTCATTCAGGGCATCAGCCCCTTTGTGGGGAGGGGGGGCTTGAAAACCCGCCTGTTACAAGCCCGCCGGAAGTCGATAATCGTTGACCATGACTCTTTGTTTCAGACAAAGGTTCGAGATGGAGTACAAGGTTTGGATAAGACTCACACGGCGGTATACGGTAAAGTACATGTATTCCTTGATGATTGCATCTCACCTACATAGGCAGCCGGAGCACTCATAATACGATTGAATCATACAATATCCCAAGGCCGACGGAAAATTGTTGGGGATCCATTTTTATATTCAATACTTGGGTACTTGTGGTTGCTTGATCATGATGGATATCTGCAGGGGGTGCTCCAGAATGCAAGGGCAATAAGACATTGCTAGTCCAGTGATTTAATAGCTACTCTAATTTCCCTAAACAGCTACAGGTGTTGATTGTACTCTAGTTGGTTCTCTTAATTCAACAGCTCCCAAGGGTCCACTGACGTACTTACATGTACTCGCAGCAGGTAACAAGTACCCGAAAATGCACGTCCTAATCTGCAATTTCCATTGGAGTAGAAGTCAAAAATACACCAAAAACTTGCAGCTGCATATTCGGGTACTTCATGCCTGTCGCGAGTACGGTAGAAATGCAACCATCATGGGGTACTTCAGCTCTCCATCCTCGTGATGTCGCAAACTCATCTGTGTATGTACTCTATGGCTTCTGCGTGCATCCCTAGCTAGCCAAAATCCAATCCACTCCATTGCAGTTGCAGACAGCCAATGGGCCAAGCATTATTGCACGCAGTCCAGTTACCGATCCGCCTCCGCGGGCCATAACGGGCAATAACGCACGCACCAGGCAACAAGATTTATCTTCTTGCGTTAAAATGATCCAGACAGTTCGAAGCGAGAGAAGAAGAGAAGGCGGGCAGGGATATCACCCACACCCCCGGGAGCGGCAGCAGTTGTGGGGAGAGAAGTTGAACGTTCGCGCCGATCGCCAGCTGTAGCGCGGGATAAGTCGCGTGTCTAGAGTAGCTACCTATCTCGATGTGCCCAAAACTGTTGAGAAGAGGGGGGGTGTACAGTACAAGGTGGGATGATACCAATTACGAGTACAAATGGGCCCTACTGCCCCCCTTCTTGCTCTGAGCCTTCCTGAATTATCCGCAGCATCCCTTTACTGGCATCCTATCAATAATATTAATTGATATCTTCGATATTTCACAAATAAGAAATGCTTACCCGCGCATTCACGTTTGTTTTCCCAATCCCATCTTCCTTTCAGTATCCCCGAGGCTCATCCGGCTAACTCGGTAACTATAATAGTACAAAAAGTACCCTCGCCACTATAGTTGCCCTCACGGGCCTCGGCGTGGCGGCATTGAACTTGAATGCTAAATCGGAGGCCGCAAAGAAAGCTCAAGCAGCTGCTGGAACCGGTCAGAGTTTTGCTCTGGGAGGCTGTGAACGCTCTGGTGAGACCGATCCCTATTACCGACTCTTTCCAGGAACACGACATTGAGATTTCTTTGTGATACAGGTGGCGGGGTCTAAATAAACTCATCGAATTAATGAGAGCCACGTTTATCGTGTTCCCAAGCTCTTACTCTTTGCTAGTCATATACGGTTTACCCGTACGCGTATGCATGATGTTGAGTGATAACGACGAATGGAGATAGCTATGAAGTACCCGTAACGGGCAAGGTATCATGGAGTTTATGGATTTTTGGTTTTATTTTTGTACCTCTGTATTATTTTGAATTCAACAGAATACCGACACCTTGCGTTGACTAGGCAGCACATGAAACATGGTTATGGGTAACTACGGTTCTGTACCTCAAGATTAATTCGGTTGACTGCTAAACACCGAGGATCCAAAATTGAAGTTACCCCAGGAAAACGAACGGATTTGTGTCCGTGCGCGTGTTACCATGCACCAAACTTGGCAAGGGTGTCTCATGCGGTCAGTCACTTCTCTGAATCAATAGGTCAATTGGACTCTTGCATGTTTTGAGAGAGTCATTGTGCGTGCATGTTTGGCGCAAAATGGGCTGCATATGTGCGTACGCACATGATACTTGAACGTTGGATGACTGAGAGGTCCTGGACGATTTATAGCATTGGAGAGATATTAGGCTGCGGGTAGTGTAACCTCTAAATTTATTTCCACAGAATATGACGGTAAATACATACATCTATCAAACCTTCAGAAACCTACAGAGAGCTGGTCTCTAACCCCAACTTTCTTGATTGAAGTGCATATGTAATTGTTTGTGTAAGGGGGGTTTAGGGCTATCGTCGATAAACCCATGATTGGAGGTATCAGTGATAATCTAGAGCCCGAGCCATTTATGATCAATCACAACATATCACGCGGATGCCTCAGTTTCTTGAAGCTTGAGTTGCCAAGAGTGGCCCATGGCTCAGATAGTTTTAGAACTGTATCAGTGTTTGATCTAAGTTGTCCTCCGGTATTAGGGTAGTCTCGTTCGTGGCTAATTACGTGCTATGAGCTATAGCACTAGCAAATATTTGTGAACATAGCTAAAGCGGGCCTGGTCTCGATCGAGTTTACGGGTAATGAAGTCGAGCTCTACGAATCCACCATAGATAAGTCTAGAGAGATCAACTATAGCTAATATATGCCTTGAAATGATTCTCGGTTGGTACGTAACTATCTGTGCTTATATTGTTTGCCAGAATCATATATATGCGTACGATAGCCCTGGCTTCTTACAAAGTTTGTTATATAACTAAAGTTTCTACCAAAAGATGAGTGATCTTGTATGATGCAAGTTTCCCTTGATCAACCATTGGTCCCGATCCCTGCCATTTCGTCTAATACTGTGAATATTGCTTGGTGTTTTCTACAGAAGTGGCAAAACCGTATGCATTCAAAGAACAATCAATGGAATCTGACCGATTACAGTACTTGGTTTAACACTATTTAGATGGTCTGGTTGCACCATTCAGTTGACGGGATTCCATCACCACCAGTCATTCCCAAACCTATTCACCTCGACTATATATCAATGATTCAAAAATCCATATTTTCAATTACCACGCTCGATAAGGTAAAAGAATTTTTCTGTACTAGAGTCTCTATAGTTAGACATGTTCGCTACTTGTATTCGTCCAAATCGCTGTTGTCGACGAGTTTACGTGTCTTTCGGTTCGATCGACCTCCTAGTGGTAAAAATTTGGAGCGGCTCAAGGCGATAAAAATATATTTAAGAGGGATCGAAAGGACTCTAACTTTATATAATCTCAACCAAAAGGTAAATATATTGAGTTCCATGTTCATGTGCTGATATAAGTGTCAGCTTATCAGTTGCTATACAGAAGTTCATGGCAGCAAAAAACGGTACGTATACGGATGAATACTTTGCCCGCCACGCTATCTCGATGGGAATTATTTTGATCTTTGAGAATCTTCGGAAGATCGGGAAGAATAATCTAATAGAAAGCACATACGAAAAACTTAAAGAGCAGCGCAACCACTTGGCCCATGCTAAAGGGGGTCAGTGGAAAGCTGTATGGGAGACCATTTCCATCGTATACCCTGGCCTAGTGGCCGAGGTCGAGAAAGCGATTGATCTCGAAAAGAGGTAATTCCAATCATTCTAGTAGTCTGGGGTGCAATTATCTCTTAATCTAATACATTCTGCAAGCTTAAGGCCTCCTCCTATTTTGAACGAAATATTGGGAGGCCAGGTAGGACCAAAGAGAAAGCGAAGGGAAGGGAAGAAGAAAAAGAAGAGGCTCGGATCTCAATGACCATATGGCCTAGTAATCTAGCCTGCAGTTCAAGATTCGGATAAGACAACAGTCTTGTACTTAGTTGAGATTTCGAATCTAGAAATAAATTTGAGCTTTTCAAATGATCTGTACTGACGCCACCTAGATCTATAACTAGAGGTTAAAGCCTCTTTTGCAATTGCCGTTGTGGAGATATGTGTTTCTCATGTATTGTAATTTATTTTCTCATACTAGTCTTTAAATCCAGCTCTTTAAAGTCTGTGGTCCATAAGGCTCATTAACCATACATTCAACTTGCTTTGTGATCTGACCTAGTTTTGGGTTCTAATGAGATGCTCGACGTGCTGCCCCTCAAGTGCCATTAATTGCTGGAAAATACTGCAAAACATGGGCGAGTATTAGTAATAGCTATATATATACTAACGATGCCGGCTGGAATTTCGGTCACGTGTAGGTTAAATAATGCGTAGGTGAGAGTAGAAACTGGCATGCCTTTGCTACTCTCTAGATATATCCCTACGTGACCGAAATCCAGTCGGCATTGCTAGTAGACCGCTTGTTAGGTTAGACGCCATGCGCTAGCTAGTAGACCGCTTGTTAGGTTAGACGCCATGCGCTAGCTAGTCCCCGGTGGCCATGGCTGAAGGCCCTGGGTTCAAGGTAGGGGCCGAGTGGTAGTTGTAATATTCCCATGACCACAGTACTTTTGTTTTTAAGTAAAATAGATAGGCTTTAGAAGTTACAATCATATCAAGAACTCTCTATCCAGATCTGGAGGCGCCGGCGGATACGTATATATACATACAAGCATTTTCCGGCCAAAGGCCGGAGTAGGAACTGTTATGGCTTAAACAATATCAGTTTACCAACGCTTAAGATCACTGAAACCCCAAGATGCCCTGTGCACATATCTGATATACTATTTGGTTGACTCAAGGTATGTTGGAACCAATATCTACTGGCTGACTCAAACATATTTGATAGAATATCTACTAACTCCAATATATTTGATAGAATATCTACTTACTGACAAACATATTTGATAGAGAAAAAGAAAACCCCTCAAACCTGGCCAATCAAAACCTTTAAATAACACATTGCATATCGGTATATCTATATACTTATTAGATAGTTACATTTTCTAGAAGAAGGTACGGTATTATATTAACGTATTTCCCTCCCACTGGATTCAGTCACAGCCTCTCACTCGTCATCTTTAGTTCTTTGATTATATGTGTGGATACTGTAGATGGATATAAAATAGCTATTATGGGGGAGATTTGAGGTATGGGGGCATAAACCTTTGAAGACACTAGTCTTAATTAACTTCGTATCATCGTTAGGCATGCGATCGATCATTGACCACTGCCCAAGGTCCCCAGATTAGGCCGGGTAACGCACCCCTCAAGCCCCGCAAAGATGTTCCACAAGTCAAAGGAGTGCCAAGACGGAAGCTCCAACCTGAGCCTCAACACCGCGAAGCTCCATTTAGTGTTCATACACCACAACGGCACCCATTTCCACAACCACCCCCCACAATGCCAGTAAGCTCCCATTTATCTGCCCTCCGAGTACCTCGATCAGGAGTATATGAAACTAACAAAATCAACTACTTACCAGGCCTACCACTCCGCGTTCCTGCAAGATACTGACGTCCGCGTCGTCGGTAAGCACCGATACCCCTCGTTACTTCCTAGGTTACATCAATTCTGATAGATATTTTTCCAATTAGGAAACTTTGGCCTTCTTCCGCTCCGTACGAGGACCAGGGGACCAGCATATACCCTCCCGGCACTGCCACCAAACACGAGTGACCTCGATGTCGACCCGGATAGTGAGCATTACGATGTGCTCGACGAGACCCTTACGTTGTTCCGGGCCAACACTTTCTTTCGCAACTTTGAGATCAAGGGGCCGGCTGATCGGACGTTGATCTATGGTATTCTGTGGATCTCGGACTGCTTGAGTAAAATCAAGCCGACTATGAGTCTGAGGGATTCCGAGAAGGTAGCTTATCCAGGTTGCTACGTTGGAGTATCGTTTTGCTTATAAGGGTTCAATCCAGGCGCTCCAAACCTCCGCACTCGACCACTTTGCCCTCCCCGGCGATCCTGCGTTCCCCCTGAACGCACTTTACCAACCCCCGAAGGATAGAGTGGACGCTGAGACCTTGAGAGGTTATATCAGTCAAATGAGGCAGGAGTTAGTTATCAGACTTCTCAGCAGGATCTACGCGGATGGAACCGGAAAGCCGAGCAAGGTATGTAATGAAACTTTATGAAGCTATCATTTATGTACCGGGCTAACTTGTGTAGTGGTGGTTGAGCTTCACCAAGAGACGGTTCATGAACAAAAGCTTGTGAGTAAAGACCGGGGCGCTATAGACTATAGGAGACTTGATTAGCACGAGGAAGAACAAGAAGTACATACCATGCATAGTTTGGTGAAGAGTTGAGCGTTTTATAATCCAGTGAATTCTACATTGTTTGTTGTTCCGGGAACGTTTGCTAGCAGCAATCTGGAGTTGGATCTTTCTTTGCCGTGAATTCCATGCACCTTTGTGGGTGCCCCTACATATTATACGGTTTACCGTTGCCGAGTGACGGGCCACGGCGGCGCGGGCGGATGCTCGCTCGCTACCGGGTAAGGCTATCCCGGTTACCCGGCTCTTGACGTCACGCCCCACTACCTTATAGTACTGCCCCACCAGGTCCAGAGGTATCCCGGCCGTTTTTTCAAAAGATGTCGCTCGAGAATCACATCTTGCCAATTGACTGCCAAAATGCCACCAAAAGCCGTGGCAGCGCGCCCCCCAAAAGGCGACCACAATCCTCACCTCTTTACTATGTAACTGCCCCCCTCTATGTCATACTAGTAGTTAGTTGTAGTTCATGCCGAAATTAATACCTACCGTGTTTTCAGTCGCCCATTCCCGACTCCAGTCTCCCATAAGACCTTTCTACGTATCAATCTGAACCGCGGCTCCCTGAACAATCTCGACATCAAATCTGGCGACCTATGCCACATCACCACTGCCGAGATCTCGGAGACCGCCAAAACACCCATTATACCCGCTATTGCATGGCTCGCCTCCGACGCGCACCTGCAAAAAAGAATTGCCCTCATTTCTGATAATGTTCGCACAGCTTTGAGTGTAGGCTTTGAAGATAAAGTCCTAATCGGAAAGTACACCGAGAAGGTTGAGGATGCCGTGAGCGTGCTTGTCAAGGAAATTGAGTACGAGGAGCCGTTACCGACTGCTGCTAGGCCTGGGACGACAGTACCAAAGAAAAGTAGGGTTGGGATTGAGAAAAACCAAGCCGAGGGCTGGCGATGGTTTCTGGAACATGTCCTTGGTATGTTGGATGTTGCTGGGAGAGCTGTAACTAGTTGTGGAGGTGCTTGTGCTGAGATTCTTTCATGTGTATGTAGTGGAGACAAAATATATCTCGGAGGGCCTGATTCTCAACGCAATCGAATACAAGGGCGTGAAACGAGCCTTCCGGATCGAAAAGATCGTTGCAAAAAACGTGCCCCGGGAGATTAATGACGAGCACTCGGTGCCTGCATATAAGATGACTGAGTCCACGATCATTGAGCTCACCACCGACTCTGCCGACCCTTCCAGCCCTGGCCCTAGTCCCGCTAGATTAAAACCCACTCGAGCTCCCCGAGCGCCAGTAGTGGAAGAAAATCCACCTGTCACGATCGCCCTACCCTCCCGCACCACCTTTGCCTCTATCGGCGGCCTCTCGAAGCAGATCGATGCCCTTAAGACCCTCCTCTTGTCGACACTACACCAATCCCACCACTTTACACGCTTCAATTTAACACCACCGCGTGGGATCCTCCTCTATGGCCCTCCCGGCACGGGAAAGACGCTCCTTCTCAAAGCTATTGCATCCGAGCTCTCCGCAACCTGCTTCGTTCTTAACGGGAGCATTGTTGGGAAATACATGGGCGAGTCAGAAGCCGCTGTTCGCCGTATCTTTGCTGAAGCTCGTGCACACCAGCCCGCAATTGTGTTTGTCGACGAGGTCGACAGTCTTGCACCGAAGCGTACGGCGGGTGACAGTGGCGAAGGTAGGGTGGTGACGACACTGCTAACAGAGATGGACGGACTTGACTATAGTGGCGGCGGTGAAGCAGTGAAGGTTGTTGTCGTTGCAGCCACAAATAGGCCGAATGCGGTTGATGGGGCGTTGAGAAGACCCGGAAGGTTTGACAGGGAGATTGAGGTCGGAATTCCGGATGTGGATTCGAGGAGGGAGATCTTAGAGGTACTGATGAAGGAGCTGCCATTTGAAGGGCGGGAGGGGAAGGGGAAGGAAGAATTTGTAAAGGCGTTGGCGGCGCGGACGCACGGGTTTGTGGGAGCGGATTTGGAGTCGTTGGTTAGGACTGGTTTTACAGTCGGACTCAAGAGACTTGAGCTGGTTGAGGGACAGAAAGAGGGAGAGGAGGAGGAGGAGGAGGAAGTGGTTATTCGAGAGGATGACATTGAGGCGGCCTTGAAAGACGTGCGGCCCACAGCAATGAGGGAGATATTTCTGGAGCCACCGAAAGTCCGCTGGTCCGATATCGGCGGCCAAGAAGAAGTCAAGCAGCGCCTCCGAGAAGCTGTAGAATGGCCATTGACTGTGAGTGAAGCATTCTCTAACCTCTCTCCAAATACCTATAATTTTCTTGAGATATTGACCCATGTTCTCCACAGCACCCTGAAGTATTCTCCCGCCTCGGCGGTACCCCTCGCAAAGGTCTTCTCCTTTACGGCCCTCCGGGATGCTCCAAAACTCTCACCGCTAAAGCCCTCGCCACCGAAGCCGGCCTTAACTTCATGGCCGTCAAAGGACCTGAGCTCTTCAGCATGTATGTTGGCGAGTCAGAACGTGCCGTCCGCGAAATCTTCCGGAAAGCCCGCGCGGCAAGTCCTAGCATTATTTTTTTTGATGAGATCGATGCCCTCAGCGCATCACGGGAGGGTGGACAGGGCAGGAGTGGTGGTGGCGGCGTTGGAGCGAGTGTACTGACGGCCTTGTTGAATGAGATGGACGGCATTGAGAGCTTGAAGAACGTCACTATCCTTGCGGCGACGAATAGGCCCGAGATTATTGTAGGGCACCTCCTTCCTTTAATTACATTGGTTTCGTCTTGAGGGAGGCGGCGATGCTTACTATTTTTAGGATCCGGCACTCCTTCGCCCCGGGCGTCTCGATACTATTCTGTATGTTGGCCCGCCAGATCTTGACGCGCGTAAACAGATCCTTCAGATAAAAACAAAGAAAATGTCGATTTCACCAGACGTAGACTTGGACATTCTAGCAGAGAAGACGGACGGATACTCTGGCGCGGAGATTGTAAATATCTGCGACGAGGCTATTCATTATGCCATGCGCGAATCGTTCGATATCGATGCTGTTGGTAAAACGCATTTTGATCAAGCTATGGAGAAGGCAGTGCCACAGATTACGCGCGATATGAGGATGAGGTATGAGAGGTGGTCTGTGGGCGGGGTGAAGAAGATATAGTGTGCTCGCTGTGTACTGAAGCATATTGGTGTAAGTAATTGACAAGTAATGGTGTAGTGTGTCGGAGCGTTGATGTGCGGGCGTTGAGGTGAATTATCGAGCGAGTGATATCTTATGATTGTCACTGGTTATGAACTGGGACTTGGCATTGGGCATCCCGGTAAAACCAATCAATTCAATCCGGATTATCTAAGTCCGGCATTCTCGAGTAAATGACACTCCAGCGCAATAGCCCCTCTCTGAGAGTAGGTGTGTTGTTGGTTTCGGTTTGTCATGCACAGGGGCCCCTACTGGAAGCATTGTACTGGTAGTGGGTGTAATGACATTGACAATATATACACATTTCTACGATGCATTAAGATCCGTAGTAAACGCTGCAGGAGTCGCAACTACGGTTTTTATAAAATGATACTCTACTAAGCTCATAGCGCATTTACAACTTGATATTACACGGTATATATTGGAGCTCTGGGATAAAATTTGTGAGATGCATGTACCTACAAATACCACAGACCAGATACCCATACCCTTATAGACAAACACGTTTGACAATATATCCATATCAATGTCGCGTGTATTTGGCGGCAAGGCTGTCGAAGAGATAAAATTAAGACTGTAGAGCGAGGAAATAGCCCTCATTAGGCCAACATCCTGTTTTGGTATCGTCGTCACCCTCATTGCTGTACTTGACAGAGCCCCGGGAAGCTAGCCAATTTACAATCTCTTCAACCTCAACTAAGGTCAATCCGGGCCACAAAACTCTCATGATTTCTTTCATGTGAATTCCCGGCCGGCTAGTGATCAATGCGAGAACTGCAGTTGTGACTTTAAGCCACATGCCCGTGATGAGTTTCCCGTTGATATCCACCCACAGGCGGATGGGCTCAGTCCTACTTTCTGGGTTTCCTCTTGGAAATGGAGGCGCCGGGAGGGTTCTTGATTTGGATTCATATCGTGGTCCTGGTTTAATCTGGACCTTGAAATTGACGATATCTTTGTCCATTCCTCGCGTTTTATACCCATCGATCAAGCCAAGCTTATCGGCGAAATATCCGCTTTTACACAGAATTATCTGTAAATTGTTAGTTTGGGGCTTGAGTATGTGAATAAATCGTTTTTCATACCCGCCTCGAAGCCATCATATCAAACAAACAAGCCATTGAACCATCATTTGTCAATGGTGAAACTTCAATTGCTTTGTATCTCTTGAAATTTTCACGAATGTATGTCTCATAAGATACGGCTTGGGCAAAAAGACCTTCGTCCATTGGTGTGCGAAGTGAGTGATGGAACTTGTCAGTAAACTCGTAGTTCCGTCCTGGTGTGAACCGTGTTTTATCTTTCTTATGCGCAATTGTTTTACTGATTATGAGCGTGTAAAATGCCTCATCCACAAGGCGCTCCGGATACGAGTGCAGGATCTCAAATGCTTTCTTGGGATTATACTCAGAGGCATCAGTGATAATGTTGGCCTGAAATCTCTATTAGTTAAAGCAGTGAATTGGTTTGGGGGGTGTCAAAGTTACCTTAATTACTGACTTGATATATTCTAGGGTTTCTTCATCCTCGGCGGGGCGCTCTCTTTCATGTAAAGGTATCTCATAAGGATGGCATACAAAATGATTTCCTCTATTCCCCATTGTAAGAACAGGGCTGTGGAACTCATTCCTCCAAGTTGAAGGTCCATCGGCACGTAGTTCATAAATTTTATCGAAAGCCTCGCGCGTTATGGGAAGTTCGGGTACCGATTGACTCCTAAAAGGTAAATGTTAACTAATCGATCAATCTACAGGAGGGAAAGGCGCTAAGCGTACTCTGGAAGTTCCAAATTCTCACGGAACCATGTAACGACAAATGGCAAGTCAAAAGTTGACGAATCTGCAGGGTTGAAAGCCGGCAATTCACCCTTTTCGTAGGCTTCAAGAAACATCTGCTCGAATTCCGCTTGAAGTTTCTTCATGTGTGTCTTATGAATCTCGCGCACACGTGGCCACCGTTTCTGTAGTGTTAACGAATTATGCTTAGGGATGGCAGTCTGTACAAGGTTCCAGTCGATCTTACGATCCCAACCCCCAAAGATAGTTCTGACAATTATTATAGCGATGAGTAGCGAATCTTCATCCTCTTTAGGTATTATGTACTGATTTCTAAACTGAAATCTGCGAGGAGGGACTTATCTAAGGTCAGCATTGATAGAAAAAGGATCACAGACTCAGATACTCACGTTCTTCAAGGGGAAGTGTGTCAGATGCTCTGAGTGTGTTTTTGCGAATTGCAGTCATAGCACGCTCACGACGAGAAGGAATCTTTTCGAATGAACCTGGAGCTCTACGTTTTCTTTTCGGTGTTTCTCCCATCAGTATATCAACTGTCCGAGTGGGTTTTGATGCTGGCTTCCTCCTAGTACTACCAGGTTTTGGCCCAGGCTTTCGGGGACCAATAACTCGAGTCTCAGAGAAATCCGGTGCCCTAATGCGCTGGTCCATATTTAATATAGGAACTTGTGTAAAGTTTTCTCCGACTTGGGTATCAGGTGCAAAATGATTTATCATAATGAAAGTTTTTTCACTCGGTTCAGTTAGGGGAGCTTTATCCATCCTTTTTTCCCACTTTTCGACCTCCTCAATTTCTTGATAAAATCTCCTTTCGTCTCTTGGCTCATTAAGATCCCTTTCCACAAAGTCATTCCACCAAACTCGCCTTGGTAAATTTTCTTCTGTGGGCGGCGGGTCGTAAGGGTCAAATGGTTCGTTACGGTATTGCTGGTTTAACTTCAGCAGTACCTTTTCGGCTTTAATCTCGGCCTTTCTTCGGCGAGCGGCCTCCTCTTTTTGCTCATCTGTAAATTTTTTACGTCTACCTGTTGAAGTAGACGGCATGAGAGTCTCGGTGTATATACGCGGGCGGCCTCGGGGTTTAGTTGGTGTGGCTATTCTTGCAGCCCTCGCGGCCAAGCGATCAGCTGCCATAGCGGCGCGCTTCATCTTCAACTGCATGACAGAATTTGGATGTATTCGCTCAAATTCAACACCCTCGACCTCCCTTGGTTTGGGTAACGACCAGTGTGGTGGTTTGGCGAATCTATCCTGGATATCCTGTTGGAGGTCTGTGTTAGGTGGAAACCAAAGGTTTCCTTCCACAGACATCATTTCCCTAACCATGGCATCAACCTTTGGCGAGTCAGTGCTAATACTAGCATCTACTAATATCTTTTTCGTGATTGCACTCCCACTACCACTGGTAAAGGTAAACGTAAGCGCCTGGATTTTTTTCTTGTACTGGAGCGATTGAACTATGCCTCGGATTAGACGCCGATCACAAAGTCCGGCTTTTGGATTCTTCTGACGATATTTCTTATCAAACGCGAAACGAAGCTCATTGCCTCCGGGGAAAACTCCGCCATGTTCTTTTATGAGATCAAGAACAACTTGTTGGCGAGCCAGTGCTAGCATACCACCAATGGAGCCGTAGGATTCGTTCCCCTCAACATCTAACTTTTCTTCCTGAACGGCCACCCCGTTGATGACGTGAACCGGCTTTGAAGAATTTTCAGAAGCTGAGCTGCCAGGAGCGGAACCAACACGAGCTATGCCATCAGAGGTGACTATCTCTATGCCACTGTTCTCTGTACCGCGTTCATCGTTAACTGCGACAATTTTGCGAGGTTCTGTAGCAAATCTGGCAATTTCCGTAGATTTCTCAAGGCGAGCGTCTTCTTGATAATCACTTGACATCACCTGCTTATTCTCGAGTTCGGCACTTGCGACAGCGCCTGGTTCTGTTGGCACTGTAGCTACCTCGACATCGCCCCCACAAACATTAGGCGTTGTGTTACCTTCATCAGGCACTGTTTGTTTCATACGTTTCGATTTGCGGGTTTGTGTTTGTTTAACTGGGGCCTTCCGCTTATTTGTCACGGCCACATTGGAAGTGTTCACAGGTATATAATCTGCGGGAACTAACTGATCGGCATGTTGCTCATCCAGAAGCGTGATTTGTGCGGACTGGCCTTGGTTTCCGGCTATATCAGGTGCAGCAGTGTTCTGAGTTTTTTTTGTATAACGTCGTTTTACAGATGGTTCGCCATTGTCTGTTTTTTGTTTCTTCGGCGGACGTCCACGACGCTTGGGGACTGGTGGTTCTTGTATATTAGATAGGCCTTCGGTGCCCTCTAATTCGGTTGAACCTAATATTCTTTTCTCGCTAGCTTCGAGTGGCAGTTGCTCCTCAAGTTCTGGTCCCATATGTTCACTATTAGAGACAGAATAAGATCCTTGACCAAGCCTGCTTTTGGCGAATGTACCCCCACGTTTAGTGGCTGTACGCCGTTTTGTTTCTAGGTACGGTTCCTCCCCCTTGTCATTTTTACGTGGCCTTCCTGCTCCTATGCGATCTATTTTATATTAGGCAAATTTTGAATGGCAACCTTTGAATGTTTACACTTACTACTCTTCCAGTCAATACTTCTACCACCCTTGTTATCATTGACGATATTGAATTGCGATGTGAGTATTTTTAGATTCTCCTTTTTTTTACCTTGTAACTGGCTTTCCTTCAGAGTTCCAGACCCATCCTTCTTTGTAAATCGAGAGGTATCTAGAACAGGAAACCCGAAGTCATCCCTCTCAATATCAACTTCATCTGCCTTCTGCAAAGAGGCTCCGACAGAACCCTGTTTCACCCCCTTCTTTTTGGGGGTGGGCTCATAAGGCTCAGTTGCCAACCCTTCGGAGACTAGCTGTTGATGCCATTGATAGCTGAAGTATCTATAGTGTGTTGATCGGCCAGTAATACCAGTTTCTCGAATTATAGCAAGGTGCATGTATTGAGGAGGCTGTGACTGCCTGGGGAAATCGGTCATTCGATGAAGAATCTGGTCCATCGGACGATAATATAAAGGTCCAACGGTTCTGGACATTAGATCCTTAATAAAAATGGGGCTATCAGTATATATGCATACAATAAATATTCATGACTCCATAAGTATTACCATGCTTGTAATCCCGTCCTTTCCTGCTTTGTCTACTATGTCAAAGATTATGCTTGTCAAGGGCTTATCGATCCGCCACTGAGGTGTATCCCTATCGATCTCCCCTACCGCATCAACGTCCACGTTCTCCAGCTCTTTCACCGCATCAGCATCTAACTCATCGCCATCTTTATCCTTGGCGATATCATCATCGGATGCCTCAGCCGCGCCTCCTCCTTCTTCCCCTTCTTCATCTTCCATATTCACTTCACGTTTTGAAAAAGCAGTGAGAACTTTGCGCCAATCACAAGCATCCATATCACGCAAATATCTTACGCATCGGGCATGGCATTGCTCTGATATCGCTATCTCTCTGTTTGCCTCCCTCTTTGTGTACTTTCGGTTGAGCTTGAGAGGGACTCTGATCCGCTTGAGTACGCCCAATGACTCCAATTTTCGAAGGATTCTTGAGAATGAACGCCAATGAAATCGAGATTTATCCATGCCCTATTTCTCGAAAAATGTTAATACGTACCATTAAATATTATGTTTGTCACATACCAATTTTCTTTTTAGATCACTATGCATTAAGACTCTATTTTTTGCCAGTTTTAACTCGAAGAGGATAGCTTTGATAAGCTTTTCAGTGTCGATGGTAGGCCCAGTCCAAGCGAAATTCGGGCCCTCGTCTTCTCTATCAAGCTGCCGCCTGCCTTTCTTTCTAGCATCTTTTTCTGGTGGAGTCTGCACACTCCGTCTTATATCCCGTTGAAATGCGAACCGTGCCAAGGTGAGCTTGCTGGTGTTGAGATTCTTTACTAGAACGCTCTTCTTCTCAATATATCCTTGGTTTTTGAGCATCGTAGTTCGCACAGGAACAGATTTCTTGTCCTGTCCGGTCACCCTGGTCAATTCCGGTTGAATAATCCCCATTTCACGATGCTTGCCGATGACCTCAAGGCATTTGAAAATTGCATTTGGAACCTATTAATAATTTAGTTAGCCCATGAATCCTCTCATCATTGTCGGATGGTACCTTCTTAGGATCCACCCCATGTCCTGTAAGTGCTCGCCAACGTCTTTCTTCGGAAGCATAAACCCTCCATTTCTCCTGGCCTACCTCGCACCTTTCTTGGTCTTTTGAAGTGGAGTCTCCAAGGTCTGACTCTCCGCCACTTTTCTTGGGGATTTTATCTTTCCTAAGATCATCTACGATATCCTTCAAGGTCAAATTGCGGCCTTCATTATTCTTTCCAATAATAAAGTCTTTCTCCATTCTTAAAAGATCCCAGACATAATCCTGAAATTCTTCTTCTAAGTTAGGTAAATTCCACATTGTAACCCCGACTGGATCGGGCCTCTGAAGGCTTGGCATATCATCAACTGGCGCACCACCGGACGTCAATGAACATATGTCGGTTTTGGGCTGAGTATTTTTGGCATAAAAGGTGGTAACATATGCAAATAACTGGTGAATTGTTGTACCTATTTTTATGATATATTAGCGAACTTATCTTTTGAGATCTCAGGCAAAAGAAAAAAAAATGAAGTGACGATGACGAGGATCGAACGAGGTGAGCTCCGCACATATATGCAGTCGAATAACGTAGAGAATCAAAAAGGGTATTGAGGCTCAAATTTTTGGAGTCAGCCCCCAAAATAATATTTTGGCTTTAAGATGCTGGCGAAGCAAATTTTTTGTGTTATTCAAACGCCACATACGACGGTTCAACAGAAATGCAAAGACGTTATAAACAAATTATAGCAACAGGATGAAATTACCGTCTTCTCCATCTAAGGAAACCTCTTCCAGAACGTAATCGAGAAGAGCTGGGATACTCATTGTGCAAAATTGATCCTACAGTAGTATGAGTGAGTGGGCCTGTAGGAGAGAAGCTTATCTTAAGTAGCGTGGGATGGACGTCAATGGATAATACAGAACACAGAACACGCGGGTAACTTCTGAAGATTACCCGGCCTGCTAAATAGCAAAGATCATTTTGAACCTCTTCATGTACAATATACATGTACGTATTACTATCAAAGGGATAAATTCCTCAAAGTCTAAGATATAAAGTACTCTAGACTGGAAAATACTTTTTCAAAAAATCATTTCACGTCTACATGTCAAGCAAGAATAAACTTTATTTACCGGTATCTATTGACCTCAACTCATCGCTTCACTTAATAAAAAGAAGAAAAAGAAAAAGAAAAAGGAAAAAGCAATAAAAAGAAACTCCCGGATGTACGCTCGCTTTGAATTCCAATATGTGTCAATCCTGCCGACAAGGACAATGGTAGTGACAACACTTCATAAGCTACTGATACTAATACTAATGAACACCGTATCTAGCCCTTTATTTCTTTTGCGGGGTTGGCTCAACATTCCAGATTGTATCGGCATACCTAGGTTTAATAAAGTCAGTAAAAGAAAGGCTTCTGCCAACATCAAGACAGAATAGGAGGCACTTACTCGTTAATAGCACGATCAGCACTGAAAAATCCCATGCTTGCGACGCTCATGATCGACTTTGTAGCCCAGTCTTCCTTGTCCTTAAAGGTTGTGTCGACCAAATCTTGGGTGGCAAGATAACTGGAGAAATCGTCGCTGACAAGGTAGTAATCACATCCTGTTGTAAGAGCCGAGATTAAGCCACTATAGGTGTTCGGATCACCGAACTGTCCAGCTTCAATCGCATCGCAGACTAATCGGAGTTTGGGGTCCATCTCGACTTTTCCGAAGCGGTGTTGATGACGAAGCTCTTCAACATCCTAGAAATTCATCAGTAAAAAGTCAATACATTAATATCAACATTTTCGAAATACGGACCTCTGCCAAGTGACCAAGCAAGAAGATATTGTCTTCTCCAATCTCGCGTGTGATTTCAATCTGTGTGAGAGATGTGTCAATGATTGGTTATGGTATTATTTAAATCACCACTGGTGATGACTCACATTGGCACCATCGCAAGTTCCGATGATCAAACCACCATTCAGCACAAACTTCATGTTACCTATAAATGATTAGAAATATAACAAGTGACAAATTTTAAGGATTGAGTCATACTTGTTCCACTGGCTTCAGTTCCAGCGGTAGAAATGTGTTCACTAATGTCGGAGGCCGGAATAATGATCTCTGCCTTACTAACATTGTAATCCTCAATGAAAACAACCTTTAGAAGGTCACCAATATCCTTATCGGTGTTCACGACTTCGCCAACAGCAGTGATAAGACGAATGATGGTTTTTGCCTGCTTAGTGTTAATTTAAGCTTTTTCGAAGAAAGGTAAACGCAATGGTTACCATCCAATAACCCGGAGCAGCCTTTCCTCCAAAGATAGAGGCTCTGGGCACTTGTTTCTTGAGCTCCTCAGGCTTCATCTGCTTGAGCCTCAGGTATCGATAAATAACACCGAAAATGTTCATTTGTTGACGTTTGTACTAAATAAATTAGATAAGCTCAAAACAATCTCACGATAAAATTTACCTCGTGTATCCTCTTGACCTGAATATCAAACAATGAATGAGGGTTCACTGCTATCTGAGTAGTGTCCCTAATGTACTTCGCAAGTCTTATCTTTGCGGCTAGCTTGATTTCCATCCACTAATTTGTGTCAGTAAATCGTACTTTGGGGATTTAAGAAGAAATCTCTCACCTCCTTGCGGAATTCCTTGTTGTCGACCCACTGTTCAAGCCCTTTGAGGAGGTTCAAATCCTTCAAAAAGTCGTATCCACCCAACTTGCTCGCGATAAGATCCGAAAGTTTGGGGTTTGCTTGATGAAGCCAGCGGCGAGGAGTGATACCGTTTGTAACGTTCGTAAACTTATCGGGGCCGAATACGGCAATAAAATCTTTAAAGATTGTAGCCTTAATAAGATCTGAGTGTAGTTCGGCAACACCGTTGACTTTGTGGGATCCAATGATCGCGAGGTAGGCCATTCGGATTACTTGTGGCTGACTCTCCTCGATGATAGAAACTCGTTGCAACATGTCACGATCCTTTGAAATCGATTAGAGTTGATACAAATCCAAGGAAAGGGTATACTAAGAGACTTTTCTCACTAACCTTGGGAAATTTCTTCTCGACGCCCTGAAGGAAGTAAAGATTGATCTCGTAGATGATCTGGAGATGGCGTGGGAGGAGGCTCTGGAAAAGAGGAACCGACCATTTCTCAAGTGCTTCCGGAAGAACGGTGTGGTTGGTGTAGCCGAAAGTACGAGTGACGATATCCCAACTTTGATCCCATGTAAGACCCTCAATATCGATGAAGATTCTCTGTAACTCAACAATCGCCAGCGTTGGATGAGTATCGTTGAGCTGGATCGCAACTTGGTCTGGGAACTCCTTCCATGGGCGATGTGACTTCTTGAATCGTCTTACGATATCGTGCAATGAAGCCGCAACCCAGAAATATTGTTGTTTGAGTCTGAGCTCTTTACCGGCGGAGATGTTATCATTGGGGTACAGGACTGCAGAGATGGTCTCGGCTCTCTGTTGTTCACGGATAGACCCTTCGTAGTCACCGGAGTTGAACTTTTGGAAGTCAAACTCGCCGCTCGACGGCTTTGAGGACCATAGACGAAGATTGTTGGTTGTAGCAGTCTCGTAGCCGGGAATAGGGACATCGTACGCAATTGCTTGCACTATCTCACCTCCCTCCCAGAGGTGGGAAATCTTGCCATCATCGTCGCTGAGGAAGATGTCAATGATCAATCCTGAAAGAAAAGTAAGAGCCTCGTAATAAACTTACCTAACCTTGGTTACATAACCATAGAACATGATATCAACGGAGACATCAGGACGCGGGAATTCCCAGGGGTTGAAATCCAGCCAGTAATCTGGAACCTCAACTTGATAACCATCTACAATTTCCTGCTTGAAGATTCCATAGCGGTATCTCAAACCGTAGCCCCAAGCTGGGTAGTTCAAGGTCGCAAGGGAATCCAAGAAACAAGCCGCTAATCTTCCAAGGCCGCCATTTCCAAGAGCAGCATCATGTTCTTTGTCAATAACATCTTCAATTCTGAAACCAAGCTCACCAACACCCTCTCTGGCGGTGTCCTTGATTCCCGTGTTCAACAAGGAGTTGTCAAGAGTTCTTCCCATAAGAAACTCAAGCGAAAGGTAATAGATTCGCTTCTGGTCCTGGAGCGTTTGGTGTTGCTGGGTTTTATTCCAGGAAATTACAAGCTTATCACGGACAGCAAGAGCTGTACCGGAATATGCTGCCAAGTCATCGCAGTTGTACATTGAACGAGCCAAAGTGGTCTCGACATGGCGAACAACCTCTCGCTGTGGTGAAAAAAAAAAAAGAATCAGTATATATTATGATGAGTTTACTGAAGAAAAGGTACAAACCTGGAATTCCTCCTTCCCCGTGAATTCAGTAGCAGCCTACTCAAGTTAGAACGCATTCAATATTAGATGGCCGGTTGGGAGTAGATTCGGAGGCAAGATCTCACAAGTTTGCGCCAACTAAAGGTCATAAAGGTTAGTCAGAACATAAGATTACTTAGTGGACTATGTATGAATAGCGTACGTTTCTCTCAAGGGTTGCGGGATGCTGGCTTCAACGGCCTTGATCTCACGAACACCAAATCCAGTATGGGTCCTTCGATGCTTAGGACGGAAATGGGGTTCGACAACACCGGGAGCCGGAGGGCTCGAGATTGGAGGTGCGGACATTGCAATTGCTTCAACTACGAAGGTAATATTACAATGGGAGTATCAATGGATAGAAGATTGATGATGGATAGATAATGGATAATAAGGAGAGGGATGGAAGGGCCAGCTCTATAAGTAATGGCTGAGGAGAAGAGCCTGGTTCAGAAGAGGGGACAATGAGAGAGTTGAACTATAACGCGAGGGGAACGGGCAGCAGCTTTATTCATGTACTATTTGCTGGCCAGAGCTACTACAGCTTGATCTCTGCACGGACAACATTTCCAAGCCCTCCCCACCATCGAGTGAGGGGAAGAGACCGAGCAATACTTGACACTCACGCAGGCAACCAGCACGTAAACTCGGACGAAACACCAGTGATGCACACACCGATCCCAAAAGCAAGTAACATCGTATGTGTTGTGTCGATGGAGATGGTGGGGTGCAGTACTGGTGGGGTGGAAACAACCTTGAGCACAAACAACCGGTGGGGTAACGAGTCCAAAAAAAAGAAATCAAGGCAGTTTCTGGGGTTTGATACGTTTACTAGCGATAAGGACCGCACAAGTACGCAACCTAAAATAATACGCGGGGTAACACGGTGCAAGAGGGGTCAGAATCTGTTACATACCGTCTCCTATAGAAAGCTGTCATATCGATATTCTGCACCCACCACCACGTAGCTATTCCAACTGCAACGGGAAAAAAAAAAAATTGCATCGGAAGAATAAGGAAACAGCATCGCACTTTGTGCCCATGCCATCGATTCTGCCTCCATCCCTCTGCATACAAGAGCTGCAAATCCCACCTTTTCCTCCTCCAATCTTCTCGGTGCATCGGCAGTGCGGGATCTGCCCGAGCATAGTTCTATGTAATCCCGGCAGCGGTAAAAGTGGGATCAGGAGAAGATACCCCCCCCCCCCCCCCCGGGGGGCGAGATTTGATGGGAAAGTGAAAGATAATTCATGACGATGCAAGAAATGATAACACGCACAATTGCCGCACCGGAGAAAGCAATATCGGGAGACGAAGTAACCGGTTCCAATTACATCTTCACACCCATCATCCCTTATACGTCAAAAGAAAGGATAAAAGCAATAAATAGAAGAAGGAGGGCCAAGAAACGAAACATGGGAAAGGAACAAAAGGACTACGAAAAGACTATACACAATTGCGAGTGTTGAAAGACTCTCGCCTGAACTCCGATGCTTGACAAACCACGCGAACCAATTCACACAAGATGCTCCCGTGCTTTGTACCCATACCGAAAAAAGAAAGAGAGAAGAAAGAAAAAGAGAGAGCGAGAGAGAGACCAAGCAATACAGCAGCTACCCCACCAAAAAGTAGCTATGTCCTAAGGAAATAAAAGCAATCCCTTTTTCGAGATGTGACACGATGCCTCCCCTTTTTCAAACTAAACTATCCCCACGCTACCCGGAACAGTCGATTCCAAGTAAGAAGCCGAAACAAAAGCCAGAAAAGCAAAAACAAAAGAAATAAAAGCAATACCGGTAACTAATAAGCAAAGTATTTTGTACAAGGGACCATCGGGTTTATTAATGATCACCACCTATCGCGCGTGCAGGTCATAATATGCCTGATTCCTTTAGTGCGTTCTGTAATATTGTCTCCTTGACTGCAGCAAATACTAGACGGATATTCGATGTATCGGTTGCTTGGGTAAGGCTGCATGATATGTTAGCAAATTAGCCATATCTAAAACAAGGAAAAGATGGCTCGTACTGAGGATATAAATTGAGATGAGCACGGTTGACTTGATTAAATCGCCAAAGTAGATATTTGGCGGCTCTGGTCACATCATTACCTCCAGAGTAATCGGGAAAGTAGTTACAAAGCGGACTCCGAGCTAGCTTTTGCTTGAACAAATCCACCTTATTTAGGAATAAGATGATACTTGTACGGACGAACCATCGACTATTCACGACGGAATCAAAGAGAACCAGACTTTCCATCATCCGATTCTGTATGTAGTTAGGACGTGCGACTATTCATGGCATTCTTGATGTTGGCATTTTACCTGGTTTGATTCTTCTAGCAATACTTGATCGTACTCACTCAGCGCAACGCAAAAGATAATTGATGTGACGGTTTCAAAGCAATGTATCCATTTTTTCCGCTCACTTCTTTGGCCACCAACATCGAACATGCTGCGAGAAACGATTAGCTTCAAGGTTCAATCTAGTAGTTAATGATTATGAGAGTTGGCATACTGTATACTTAATTGACCCATCGAAAACCTGGTCTCGTAGATACCGGTTGTTTTAGTTCGTGCTCGAAGCACATCCGGTTCTGTTGGTATGTACTCTCTGTGACCTATTCTAAGGGCCTCATCAAAGAAGCTAATGCATCCGGGTAAGTACCAATTTTGATATCATATAAGGATTAAATATTAAGTGACCTACTAGGGTGCAGAATCCATTAGGTAGAACTCGTTCTGATGTGCCATTACCTTGGGTATGCAAGGGTCTTTCCATAATGAAACAACAGCAGCAGCAAGCCTAGGATCTAGGGGGGTGTTTGGATCGGGGTCAACTTGGAACTCGACGATGAAATCGGCATATTCCTAGACCAAATAATCAGCAGTTTTTCATTTTAGTGTTAGGATCGCAATCCCACCTTATTAGTAGATGATTCGGGATCGATTTCGAATTGCCGTAAAGCCATCACCAAAGCTTTTGCACAGTCAACCAAGTTTTTATATATCGTAAGCCGATACATCGCAAGTTCTTCAAGGGTGTAGCCATTCTGATGGATAATCTTCATCTGTTTGACGATTGTAGATTTCCCACTCTCCCCGGAGCCTAGGCATAATGTTAGAGAAAACTCTTAACTGGATAATTCTATCAATAATTACCTAGCAAAAGAATCTTGCATTCTCTCCTTAACCTCCGCGAATCCTCTTCAATCTTCTTATCAATCTGAGCGCTAACACGACTTTCGTCGCTTTCACTTGAAAAACATATGCCCATCGTTGTTGTATGTATTATAGGGACAGTATTAAATGCTGAGAATATAGATAGCACAGGCGTTTGGTACACAACTGAAATAGAGGGTAAGTCGTGTAAACTATATTAAATAAAGGTTATTTGGGGTCGTAAAATTATGTCGTAGCAAGAGCAAAATGATATCGATTTAAAGGTGATAGCGATTATTGATAACACGGTCCAGCCGGAAGAGAGCCGAGGGCCGAAAAGAAGTTGATAAAAACGATGATTCTGATTTGAAGCCCCCACAGTAAACCGAGAGCTGATGTTCAACAGATATCCCCCACAGCACTAGGAAACAAAAGTTGTTGAGGTGATGCCGAGCTGACCGGGTGAAAACGAAAGACTGAGGATTGTGTATTTCGTTGCGGTCGTAGAGTTGAAGCCAAACACCAGGCTGTAGAAGGTGAATACTCGCTGGGTATAGAAACGCGGTTGAGCGTTGTTAGTACAGGTTGGTGAAACAGGACCAGTTGAGGAGAGGAGAAGGGTCGATGTTTGAGCAAAGCCTGGGTCCACGGCGTGATTCGGAGTTTTGTTCTGAGTTAGCAGGGATGCGCTGTAAATGTCCAAGTGAATCCAGTCGTGTCGTCCTATCTCGATGTTTTCCCGCCCAACAACAGTTGTCGAAGGTGATTGCCGGAAGACTCAAGACCATCCACGATCGACGCCAACACCACACGAAGGGAGGATAGGGGCAGTCTGGCAATCAATAAGTAAGGTGCGAGGTGTAAGGTTGATAGTCAGCCGCGAGGTTTTCGGCGTGCGGAGGAGTCTGTGCGCCCTATGCTGTGAATAACGACAAGCGAGGGATATCGACTGTGGTTGGCAAGTCGCAGGGCTGAAAGTTAGGTGGTGTGGGTGCCAGACGGCGGGCGGCGCGGAGAATTCGATTGGGTTCGAATTGCTTGCGATGCCGCCGTTGCTGGCTAACAAGTGGACGAGTATGAGTGTGGGTGATGGATGGGAGAGCTGGAGGGGAGAAGAAAGGGAAAGGCAAGGGGTCTAGGCAACAGGAGCAAAGAAGAGTGGAGGATGATCACCCTCTAGTGTTCTCAAAGTCACTCAGTCACTCAACCAATCACTGGCTCGCTCCTCGCTGATAACTCACTCGGTCTCTTACTCACCCACTCCTTCAGCCTGGCCGCTGAGTACTGGCGGGGAGAGGAGGAGGGTATGTATGACGGTGGGTGTCCTGAGCTTTAGGGAAGGGTGTTCAGCAAAGAGACCACAGAACGAGGTACTCAATGCGAAGGATGTTGTCGTTAGTGGCGAGGTTGAGGTTTGGGAGAAGAGGCTCTCGGCAAGGTCCTGGGGGGTTGCAAGTAGAGTTCAAGTTGCGTGAAAGGTGATTTTACCGGTACGGTACTCTACCAGTGCTCTTGCTTGATTTGATCAACTATGAAAACTGTGGGGGGTGGGGCGACGGGGCGAGATGCCCAGGAACACGGAGCTTGTGGGGGGGGGAAGAGAAAATAGGGAAAGGGAGGAAACGGAGAATGGGGATATGAAGAGAGTAAGTGATAGAAACACATGCACAGTCGCTGTTCGTGTCGCGGGCAGAGTCAGTAGATGGTGACAACCAAACAAAAAACGCATCCACCGGCACATACAATGATTTTTTGAACCGAACAAAATGCTCTAGCACAACCCACACTTCCTCAGCCTCAGGTTTGTTTGCAGTAGCAGCGCTCAACGATTCAAATTACTGTAAGCACTTGACTGATTTAAGGGTAAAGCGCTGGGGGAGTTACCTACTGTACTACGAGTGCTCATAAAGTACCTTAGAGAGTCCCATAGAGCAGGCCACTACCACTGCCAGTAAGTAGGACTGTACATAAGCCCAAAATTCCAGTGCATCTCTGGTCTATACGCAAGGACCAGCCGGCTGCTTGCCAGCCCCCTGGAGTTGGGTGTGGTAGCGAAAGGAGCAAAGATCGACATTGACACACATAAAATTGACAGCCGTCTTCGCGCCGCACACCGACTATCGTTACTGTAAATTCCTATGAAGGTAGCTTTTTTTGTCCCAGAGGCGTTCTCACCTATTGGTCTGCGAGCGATCCCCGCGTAAAGGAGACTTGGAACTCGTAACATCGTGAGGGTAATGTTTCTAAACTTTCAAGGAGTTCCCTGGGACCTGGAGAAGGGCCTCCGGCCCCAGCTTTACCATCATGTCTTAGCTTCTGGGCCCTTATTTGCAAAATTTCGGCTGTGCAAAGACCATATTTAGCTGCTGCTCTATGTGTCTAGCCTAAATTCAACTGAATGTTTGATGATGGTCATCTTAACCTTGCATACACAGGAAACTTAGTCTACCGTACTCTGATCAGATGGTTAAAAAGGGTATCTCGTCAGAGGAACCAAGGTTTGGACAGGTGACAGGCAGACGAGGTAGATTACTCTACGTACTTTATTAACGCTTCTGATCAACATAACGTGCCCGTACTACACTACAGTACATGTATCTCATACATGTCCCTACGGTACGCTTACCTGTGGACTCTCCAAGGCCTCCAGTGCCCAAGGCTCAAATAAATAGCTGCCAAGAATTCTTCCACGCGAGACTCGAGTATCGGTAACCACCGCAACTAATCTATTGAACCATGTGCCAGATGTCCCGGTATCGCGATTCTCGATTCCCGAGAAATCTCCTATGGTATGTCGCCATTCGGTGCTGGACTTCCTAATGGTCACTCCCTTACTTCACAGGCCACCTTATTGCCAGTCAGCACAGCCCCTGTCGCCTTCAAAGGACAAATAATTCTTCTTACACTTAATTCAAGAGCACAAGAATTATGAGAATTATATGTACTTTGTACGTAAAATTTACAATATAATAGCATTGAAGTGCTTAATTAATTAGACTAATTATATAATCAACTAACTATAGGTCTCCTGGACTTGTAAATCATGATACGAGGACAACACTCATGATCCCCTTTGCTTCAACAAGTAGGCCGTAAGGCCCCAGTATACTTAAGTACATAGTACAGTGACAGAGATTTAGGTGAAATTACTACTGCAGTCTTTGCAAACCTGACAATGCCATAGAACTGCCAATATGTAGATAAAGTGTATATTTAGATCTTGCAATTCGCACTGATCAATATGATGCGGTATCAGTTTCACCCCATTTCCGGTAATGCACTTAAGTACTTATATACAGCATTATATATAATCCTATGATCATATAAGGGATCACGAGTGAATGCTGCTCGACGATACTTGGGTGTTTGCAGTTTGTGTTATTAGGTCCCCCAACTAGGCTGATTTCAAATCGGAACCTTCAGGTACACAGTTTATATGATATATGTATGCATATGCCAAGTACTAGGCCGTTATGCCATATATGTAGTCTTCGACTGCACACAGAGTTTTTCACCTCGAATAAATAAACTATATACATGTATATACTCGATATATAAAAAGAATATGCCAAGTAGGCCTCGGAATATTGCATGCAATTGTAAAGAAAAGGGTACCGGTTTGATATATGTCTTTGGTACAATTGCAAATATATATGTAGGTACATACATGTACTCATAATATATTAGGAGTCTGAAGTTTTAGATGTTTCCCATTTCGAGCTATATAGCTATAAGCTTAAGGCGATTTCAACGGCAGAGTAGCTATGGCGCCATACATGTAGTCTATATATATATATATAATTATAAAGCCGCCAACACTTAAGGGCCCGTTTGGGAGCTGGCCTCAGTAGAAAACAACGTTTCAATCTTCCTCCGTTAAAGCTTATAGCTTAACTTATCTACTTGTAACTTAAAATTTACACAGGGCACAAAAAGAAATTATAATGGTACTGTGTACAGTAGTTACATAATGTGGCGAAGCGCCAATTGTCAGATCAATTGACGGTTATATTAGTAAATACGCTCTATTATATGTAAGTATATACTTACAACTACAAAGTACATGCATGTATCATAATATATAGTGACTAAATTTATAAATTAAAGAATTTAAAATGCTTTTTAGCCGAGTAGAGCTTATATCACGATTTCCAATGATGTCTACAAAAAGGTATAATAGCTATATAGCTTGATAGATTTATTTACTTGAATATCCTACAACATTTCTAGGTATTCCAAAAGAGTATCTCATTGTTTTAATACCTAGACCGGCTGTCGCACTCTGCAGTTTTCTATGCATACATGAATTATATAAGACACGTCCAACGTTCAAATTGGTTGATTCCCCGGCCTCGAGCTAGTCGGGCCCGGGCCAAACCTTGTTTTATTAAAGTCATGTTTAACGCAACTGACTTCCCGCGAAAGAAAGAAAACTGATCAGCATCCAAGGTCCAAAGGAGGTCGCTAGAACCGGAATGGTAAGAGCTCACAAAGGTACATGCAACCCTAAGGGATCTGATTTATTCATTCCAGTCCGGCATGATCCGGCTTTCCCTCCTATTCCTATTCAAACTGCGCATGTAGTCAATTAAACTTATCTAAGTCTAACGTGTTGGCAGACTCACTTGATGACGTCAGGCGGCAGGACCTTTGCGTTTTCTCCAAACAGGACCTACATGGTATCTTTACAAATTCGTCATTATCATGATTCACGGCCATGATGATTGCAGATGAACTCCTACCCGTCATTTATTTAAATACTTTCACGCCTGCAGCTGGAATGGGTTTCTGTTTTCTGGTGATATTTTGTTTTGGTCGTTTTTTTATTATTACCGAGTCCCTGAATCGCGTTAACGCTCACTCATGTCTGTGGACCCAAGATATGGTAAGCACCTCATGACAGATAAAATTCCCTTCTTTTATGCTCATGATTTCGCTGTAGAAACATTTCTTAACATCTGTTCCTCTTGATTCCAGAGAATGGAAAGATTCCCTGAGCAATGTCGATTATAATAATCCGGCAACCCGAGTAAGAACGGGCCATGGGTTCCATCCTTTAAACCTTCGCCAATTTAATGCACATTCAGATCGAATTGCACAGAGCTCCCAAAAACTGCAATTAGTGACACTCATCATCAAGGATATAAATTATACAAACCTCGTATAAAGTAGAGAACTTTCGTTCTCAAATCGATACTACACCGGTCATCTGCAGTAAACTAATGCAACGGTTGTGGTCTATCAAAGCCTGATGCCAGGTGCTGGGAGGAGACCGGTTATTGGTTCCGTGTGAATCGCAATCTCGTTCGGCTCTCTCGAGGTTTCCCCTTACCAACCCTACGCGCCTCGAGGAATGCATTCGGTTGGGATTAAGAAGCTATCCTCGATATCCTTGTCTTCCAGCGCGAATGCTTGAAAAAAAGAACAGATCGCACTGCGGTGTACATTTTGAGGTTTTGTACCTACAAATCTAAAGCTCGTATGAGAATGAAGCTCAGAGACCGAAGCCGGAGGAATAAGTGTTATTAAAACGATGTGGTTTAATTGAACGGTTTCAAGGGTTCGAACATATTCTCTTCTATGCCTTACTTCCGTTTTAATTCTGCTCCTGTGACGCCTCATGGGTTGTATCACAGGGTAAAACTACACAACCTCCGACCAAGGTTAAAAAACAGGAAACTGATAAATTGATGGGTAAAAAAACTAGTCCTGAAGCTTTAGCTACTGATCATGATCCAAGCTTGCATTGTAATTGTACCTGAGATATCTAAGCTGCCTACAGATTTGGCATCTAGACAAGATGACCCTCGTGCGGAGTGCCCCGCGTCCAAACCGTTCTATGAAATTCTCAGGGTCTAACCAATTCCCTGGGGAGTTCTAAAAAAAAAAAAGCATACAAAAAATAGGAATCAGGCACAAATCCGAAAATGCGTTCTTGGCTTGGGCCAGGATTTTGCAAATGATGGTTGTGGCTGACGCTGGTTCCCATCAGGTTTGTACGGAAACGGAATCTGGGCAGAGGATGCCCTTGTCCCTTTGCTTGTGCAGTCCACTCATGAATACTTGGAAACCGGTAGTTTGATCCGACCAATTAGCTTTCATGCCACTCACGAGGCTGGTGCCGTGATCCTGCTACATTTACAGAGCTTGATCAGAAGTAAAAAGAAAATGTTGAAATAAAGATATATACCCGAGGACTTTTGTAACAAAAAATGGAGAGGAATTGAGCTTGCGCCACAGAAATAAAGTAGGTGAAAACACGGACAGTATGTAACAGAGGTGGTGTAGGGTATGTAGGTGCTCTGGTTGGGAGTAGCCCGATATCAGCCCCGCTCTCACCCCGCGCCTGCTGCTGTTGCTGCACGGTGATTTCATCGCCAGGAGTGAGAGGATCTCCAAGGAAAGAAGCCGTTCTCCACCAAAGAGGCCCAGGCGAACGCGACGCCCTGCAAGATCAAGCTCATACAGTTCAAGGAGTCGCCTCGCTGCTGCCCCCATTTCTCTGTCTGGAAGGCAATATTTCGTTCCACAGAGCCCTGAAAATCTTGGTTTTTGACCACATAACTGCGAAGGTTATTAGTCCTAATGTGTATTTAGCTCTGTTCCTATCCGACGAAAACGCGGCTACTATTTAGTTTGACGCCTCGCCGCATCACCCCCTCCGTGTCTTCAGTTTCGTGAAATTCACCCACATAGGTATCCGTCTTCCGCTGCTGTCTTGCCCTCCCAGAACGACCAGACTACATACCATCTCTGCAAGTTCTGTCAACATCTGTCCCCTCAACAATTTACTCTCTATCGATTGACCAGCTTTCAACATGGCTGAATTTGTTCGTGCCCAAATCTTTGGCACTACGTTCGAGATAACCAGCAGGTATGCGGTCCCCCCATTTTTGTTATCGCATTCGTACTCTATTAATCATTTTGCAGATATACGGATTTACAACCTGTGGGAATGGGTGCTTTTGGTCTCGTATGGTGATTATTTTCTTTCGAAAAACTTGTCAAAACAGGGTCGCTGAGGATGTTACCGCAAAAGCTCTGCCAAAGATCAGTTGACAGGTCAAGCTGTTGCCATCAAGAAGATTATGAAGCCATTCAGCACCCCGGTTCTGTCCAAAAGAACTTATCGAGAGCTTAAACTGCTCAAGCATCTGCGACACGAGAATGTATGTTGAACTAGACCATTACCCCGCTAAATTCAAAGAAAGTTATTTCTAATAATTCCCAGGTCATTAGTCTGAGCGATATCTTCATATCTCCTCTAGAAGACATGTGCGTACATCCGCCTCGGCTCTTGTGATTTAACTAATTTTCGATCTCTAGCTACTTTGTTACCGAACTTCTTGGGACCGATTTGCATAGATTATTAACCTCGCGGCCACTGGAGAAACAATTCATTCAATACTTCCTATATCAAATTCTCGTATGTTGAGTTATCTCTCCGCGACAAACACCGAAATTGACGATTTTTAGCGAGGCTTGAAATATGTTCATTCTGCCGGAGTTGTCCACCGTGACTTAAAACCAAGTAACATCTTGGTGAACGAGAATTGTGATCTCAAGATCTGCGATTTCGGGTTGGCAAGGATCCAGGATCCTCAGATGACTGGTTATGTTTCCACACGATACTATCGTGCACCAGAGATTATGTTGACGTGGCAGAAATATGATGTGGAGGTCGATATCTGGAGTGCAGGATGCATTTTTGCGGAGATGTTGGAGGGGAAGCCTCTTTTCCCAGGAAAGGACCATGTTAACCAGTTCTCCATCATTACCGAACTTCTTGGAACACCACCAGATGATGTTATCCACACCATCTGCAGCGAGAATGTGAGTTCACAAACTCCTCTCTACCTGGGATTTTTACAGTACTTATAGATTATAGACCTTGAGATTCGTGCAGTCGCTTCCAAAGAGGGAGAGACAACCCCTGTCTCAAAAGTTCAGGAATGCCGATCCTCTAGGTAAGTACCGTCAAATATCTATGTCTAATAATTATCTAACAATTTGAAGCAATCGATTTGTTGGAGCAAATGCTCGTCTTCGATCCTAGGAAGAGAATCACCGCCGAGGCAGCTCTTGCTCACGAATATCTTGCGCCCTATCACGATCCCACCGATGAACCAGTGGCAGGGGAAAAATTCGATTGGTCCTTTAACGACGCAGATCTACCAGTGGACACCTGGAAAATCATGATGTAAGATTTGTGCTTTCTTGTTCTTATTTTAATTTCTGAATTCCGGAATTAGTTCAAATTACTTATGCTTACACGCGAATATCTGCAGGTACTCGGAAATTTTGGATTACCACAATGTCGATGGGTCTGCCCAGCAGTGAGGCAATATTTTTTTTTTGATTTAAAACAGCTTAATGTTACGATGCATGATACATTTTGTATCTCTGCTTTAACTTTAACTTTATACCTTCTTGGCGCTTACAATGCTTCTCTTGTCGTTCAATCATTCCGTTGTTTTCTTGGTAGGTTATGTTGTGGCGTTCCAGGGGAATGTCAGATAAGGAAGGGGAGGCGGTATAGTAACATGCATGAATGAAATTACGAAATAATTCACGTCTGGAGAGGGTTAAAAAAACATATGCGCTGAGCTAGGGTAGAGGAACGGGGAACGGGGAATGGGATATGGGGTAATATACATAGCGCACAACCGAATAAGAAGATGTCCGAAAATTGTTGTGCAGGTAGATGTCTAGGCAAATACATTTAGCAATATTTTTTCTAGAAAACGTCTACCAGGGAATAGACTCGTGGAAGTGTAGGTGCTATGCCGTCGTGGCTTGTAGGCAGTTCGTGGCTCTGCACTCTCGTGGCTCTGCACTCTCGTGGCCAATGGTCCGTGCCCGAACAATCCTTCTACCATGACGTAGAATACCCTGTCGTGTACAGCTTCCGTCCCTCACTCTTCAGCTACCTTGCAGAACTCTCCCTGCTCGAATCGTCAGGTCACTGAATTTTCCTAGCAATACTTTCAAGAGACCTACTATTAGAATTTATCTCATGAACACAACGACCCCATATACCCCGGTTGTGTCGATAATCGGGTTTCACCATGCGAGGTTTTTCCCTGACCCCTTTTCCGGCCGGCCCACCAAACGAATCCAGCAGCACATTGAAACTAACAAAACTCGTTTAGGGGACCTGAGGTTGAGCATTGGATTGGAGTTGATGACGAAGATCATATATCGGAATGGCCGCTGCTCCCTTTTCTGGCACTCGCCGATGGAGCCCATTTCGCAGAAGAAGACTTTTCGTATTTCACCCTGAAGCACGAAACAGCCTCAGGGCCGACAACTCTGTTCGGGATATCCTGCACTAGACAGCTGGACTCGAATGAGCTTATAGACCGGCCTGCAGATGTCACGCGCTCCACGGTTCAGAAGGCTGTAGTCGTTATTGCGAACAGCCCAACGTTCTTCTTTGGACATTTGAAGCAACAGCTCTCAGCCGTAACGACAGCTTGGTTTGCACAAAGGTATTGGAGCTCTTGAAACATTCTTGTATGGCTTTTGCTCACATATAACTTGTGATACTAGGAACTTCGAGGATTTGGATATTATAACGGCAAGCTACTTCCACCCCAGCTTCATGATTTCATTAGGTTAAATTTCTAAGCTTTGGGGATATAGAAATTTCAAGAGAGCTTGAAAAAAGCTTTCAAAGATATCGAACATGGACGCGAACAGTATGTTGGTAAGCTATCAGAGGTCCCCTCCAAGCATATTGGAAGAACTAACATGATAGGTTTGTCACTTCGGGAATTGGTTTACGAATTTCGGCACCAGACACTAGTGTTATTCAAATGTGCTCTTTTGCAACCTAAGGTTGTACCATGCAATGATCCTCATAATACGAACATAATCAAAGCTAATACCCGCAGATGCTATTCTTTGGCTCACGGTGTGAAAGGCTTTGCATGACACAGTTTTCACTTCTTTCGCTTGTCCCAGGGCTGCTGCGAAACCTAGAAGATTGCAGCGATCCTGATCTAAATAGCTATGAATCTAAGCTAAGAAAGCCAACGTCTGTCAAGACTAGCGATAGGCAATCTCGTGAGTTTCTTGATTTGCTATCAGCGATGACTAAATGACTTATTGAATAATCCTAATTCGTTAAGTTCTGAAATTTATGGGTTTCCCCCTTCAAATTTTCGGAAAGGGAGCTCTATTTGGACCATATACCCCCTTGCAACAGCTCGATATCCTTGCAGACTTTGGCACAAAGTCCTATATCGTTGGTTCGACAAATTCCTTGTTACTTCAACAGAGAGACAGGTACTCGGACATACTTGTAAATGTGAATATATGTATCCTCATTCTTTAAGGTTGTCGCTGACATCATTCAAAGCTCGATGAAAATTCTATTAATGTGACATCTCCGTCCTTGCGTGCTGCATTAGTACTCTCGGCCGCCGACAGGAGATGGATAGATGCTCTAGTATTTTCAGTCACAGAATCCTGGGATGAAGCAGATCCATCACGGCCGAAGACCATGGGCTTCGTTGGAAGTGAGGATTATATCCGTCTTCAGTTCGAGGAGTATGTTCTCTCCATGGTGTCATCGGTGAAATATCATCTATTTTTGGATAAACATCATGGGTCGGATCAAAATTTATTTTTACCAGATATCGGTGAGGGACCAACCTAGGAACGTTTCAAAAGTGCACCCACTAATATGTAGTAGAGGGAGATCCGGCATACGATTTTCAGATGGACTGGGTGGATTATTGGAAAATGACAGAGAATTTCCGTATATTCCAAAAGTTCACTGGTAAGATTTTCGTTCAGGAAGTGCAATATTTATTGCCTGGCTAATCATACCCTATAGATTCTGAGTTGTTTGATCTTGTACCGCCAAAACATGTGATGGCTGGTGGTCTTACCATGGAAGATGTTCAACGACGAATTGTCCAGTATGTATATCTTCATAATCCCACCTTAACACTATTACTAATTTCTATAGACAAATGAGGGAATTGGGAGTAGACGAGAAGGTTAACCGTGGCCGAGAAGTCCTCGCCACAACTCTAGCTTCGGGCCGCACCAATGTCACGACAGTATTCAGTAACCTGTCGAAGAATGTAGAGAAGTTTAGGGAGCAACGAAGGTCCCAGGATGTTACCCCCCAACCCAATCCCGACGTCATCACAAGCCCGACAAGTGAAGGTTCACCAGCTACAGAATCTGTCTCGGCTTTGACCGCGGCTACTACCACCACGAGTACAGTAACTCCCGCGACACCAGTGGCTGAAACAGTAACCCGTGCTGGGACATATTTCTCGTCCTGGGCAGCTTGGGCTGGGGAAAAGAAAAAAGCCTTTGTAAAGCCCGCCATCACCAGTCCTCCACCGGAGCCAGCCACAGATGCAAACGAAAAATCTCTACCTCCTGATCCCCCAAAGAAGTCTTTTGAGGAGTCTATCTTCGATGCAAGAGCAAGAGCTGCATACGGCGGGTCTGACTCGCCTGTTATGTCACCCCAGAGGAACAGTGGCAGTGGCTTTCCCCTCGGTGCAGCGAAGAACTTGGATGAAGAGAAGAGTGTTGGCCTTGGAATTGCTAACCTAGAACCCAAGAACTCATCTGTCCCAACTACTGAGCGGCCATTGCCTCCCAAGTTGGACAAGGATGAGCCTGCTCTACCAGCTCTACCGGTGGAAAAGGAGGAAGATGAGAAAGATATACCTCTTCTAACGCAAACGAAGGCAGTTCTACCAGTCGACGAAGAGGAACGGCGAAGCATGCCTCCATCGACGCCAGCGAAACAAGTCCTAGCCGAGGAAGAGAGAATGAAAACGGATATGCCTTCAGTGACACCGGCGAAGTCAGCCCTGCCAGTCGAGGAAGAAGGGGGGGAAAGGAGCATACCTTCTCCGACACCTGCGAAGGCAGTTGAGGAGGAAGAACAAAGCATGTCACCCCCAACCTCAACGGAGAAAGCTCCAATGTGCGGGGAAGAGCAAATGGAAATGGGTATGCATTTGGCAGCGCCAGTGGGGTCAGCTCTGTCAGTGGAGGAAGAAAAAATCGAAAATGTTATGCTTCCTCCAGCGCCAGTTAAATTGGCCCTGCCAATTGAGGAAGAGGATATACCTCCTCCAACGCCTGTGAAGGATGAGCCGAAAACAGTCTTCCCGGTCGTGCAAGAAGAAGCCCTTCAAGTATCACTGGATATTGAGTCGAGTCGCAACTCCGGGTTGCCTGTAGAGAAACCTGTTGAGTCCCCAGTACTAGAGCCTGAGAGCATCGAATCTACTCAATCACTTGCATCGGCATTGGAGGTAGAAATACCTACGAAAACCGAAACTGATACCGCTCAGCCCCTCGCATCACCAGCTGAGAAGGTTGAATCTCCGAAACTGGTTGTACGGAAAAGGAGAGTGGTAGCTGAACCGACTCAACCATCTTCACCAGTTTTGGAAAAAGTAGAAAGGCCTCTAAGACCGGGAAGACTTGCGCAGACCCCCTTTGGGCCAACTATAGGAGTGACCTCCGAGATCTCCTCAGTCGCAGAAAAGTCATTCAGGCGTTCTATTCCAACTTTCGAGACGGCCATCGGCTCCATCAAGTCCGAGAGGGTGTCACCAGAACCCATGAAAAGCCCCGATTATAATAAGGCTTCTCCGATGGAGGCGATTTCGGCTAGAGCGAAGTCACCCGAGTCCTTTATGGTTGGAAGGCATATAAGAGGCGAATCCGTTACCCATACCTCTCCCCAAGAAACCATCATCAAGCCTTTAAGTCGTGCAGGAACCGAATCCGCGACGATTGGTCTCAAAACCTCAGGAGAGTCCCTAAGATCAACGAGATTTATGAGAAGCGAGTCTCCAGTAACCAGCACTGGGGAGCCTGTTCTTAAGCCCACAAGGCATACCAGAAACGACTCCGGGAGTTTGAGTCCTGTCAGAGAGCCTGTCAGAGAGCCTGTCCTGAGACCCATCAGGCACGCAAGAACAGAGTCGGGAAGCATGAACTCCGACAATAGCGTTTTGAGGTCTGTAGGGCATGTGAGGGCTGAATCTGGAAGCACGGGCCTTGACAAAGTTGACCGAGAACCTATTTTGAGACCTATAAGACACGCAAGAACAGAGTCTGGAAGTATGAACTCCGACAATGATTCTGTTTTGAGGTCTGTGGGTCATACAAGGACCGATTCCGGGAGAATGAGTCCCGAAAAGGATTCGAGCCTGAGATCCATTGGCCACATTAGAAGTGAATCCGGAAGCACGAGCCCAGAAAAACCAGCTCTCAAACCTGAACGGATCAAGAGTTCTATTGCAGAGCGTGCAAAGAGATTTAGCCAGCAAGAAGATCCAGACGCCCCAAAATCTTCATTTGCTGCCAGAAGAGCTATGTTTGAGAAGAAGTGAAGGGGTTCTTCTCTTCGTCTTGTTATGTGTTTCACGAGAAATGATTGAAGGGTGGGGGGTGGGGGAGAAATGCAAAGGGCATTAGTAAGGGAAAACAATTTTTGTCTCGATTTTCCTATTTCATTCATCGTATCTATCAATTACTATTGTTCGTTCTAAAAAATTTTTTATTTCTATTTTTTTTCTGTTGCGGAGAGCAATGATTTGGTGTCAGCATATAAAAGCTCATGTTCTACGCTGTTATGCATAATGGTTTTATTTCGGGTACTTATTTTGGGGTTTGGTAACAATAATATATGCAGTGATGATGTTTTGGGATTCTTGTCATAATTCTTAATCTCCAAATGAGTGATACCATAATTATTCGAACCGATTAAATAAGGCTCAATCTAAAATTTCTAGCAAGTGCAGTATCGCATGCAAATAAGGATCTCCATGTTCGACTCTAAGGTTGAGTGGTGATAACACATTACATGTAACTACGTATTGGATTTATAGGGGTGCATATAGAACATTATTTTGGCACAAGCCTACCGGAATGGGTGGGCCCCAATTGGCTTAAATTGGAACTATGACTCGCATTCCAAACCGGAGGTATCTTTCTTATTTTTAAATTCTATTGTAGCATAAAAATCACCACCTAAGTTTCTAATACCCTTGCACCCTCCTTCATATAGCCAAACATCTTTCTATCGCCCACTATTTTTTAAATATCTCCGGGAAGATATCTCTTAACTCCTCTAAACTTCGAATATGGTGTGCTGCTACAGGCCACTCAGGCTCTGGATCGCCGGGCTCCAACTTCTGGACTGTTTTCTTCCAGCCAAAGCGGATGGCAGCTTCACAATTTATGGCAGCATCATCCACGAAATAGCACTTAGAGCGATCAGTGATTCCTGCATCTTTCATGGCTACGTTTTGGAAACTATCAGCTATTGAGCCACAAAGTATGAAGTCTGATTACATACCTTGTTCGTACATTTCAAGCTTAGGCTTGCAGATTAAAGTCTCGCGCCCGTAGTTGCAGTACGTGATACCATCGAACAAATCATCAATTCCTAACAACCTAACAACCCTCTTTCCATGGTTAATATATGCATTGGTGAATAGCCATAACTTAATCTTGCTCTTGTCGATGTCTTGAATTAACTTTCGCAATTCAATATCGGGGTGTAGCACGGTTTCGAGTGGTAAGGCATCGTCGACTACTCGATTGTACTCAAGGGGGTCGATCTTATGGTGGCGCACAAGACCCTCAAGAGCTAGTCCGTAGTTCTTGTAGTATGATTCATGAAGAAGGGTAGCGTCTGCTCGGTCAAGATCTATGGAAGAAGTTAATGAATAACCCTTGTGCCTAGTTGTGGATGGATGGGGAGCGTACCAAGCTGCTCGCGGAAGTATTTGTTGATTAGCTCTTTCATCATATCATGAACCTGGGAAGAGCTTGATAGATTAGTTTTTAGAGCCCGTCAAACTAAAGCGCTGTATGTTATACCCTCTTGCTTCGTGGATAGAGCTATGTTGCAATATGAGTCAGCGGATTCCTCCAATCTGTGTGGGAGTGCTTACACAATTGTCAATATCGAAAAAGAAAACTGGCTTTTCGTCTTCAGTACCTTGCGCCATATTTGGGATGTTCAGCGTTCTATGGGAGTGATGATGCTAATGGTTTTAATGATTTCAAGAACGGATTTGTGGTGGTTTATAGCAAAGTTCTGTGAGTAAACAGCGTGGTTGAGTAGGTACAACAGAAGGCGTCGTCCTGTGCAGTGATGTAACCACAACCCTACATACATGTATGTACATGTAGAATGGAATGGGGTCCCGTAGGAATCCGTTAATGGTAAGCGCCGATTCCATGTAACGTAGCGACTTTGCTATGAAACCCTAGCCCATGTCTCACCCACCACCTAGAGTACATGTAACCACAAACATCACTTTCCAAGAAAATTCAGTGCCTGTACCTACATATAAATCTATAAAGAATAATTTAGAATACATGGTAAGTTACCAACAATTTTAATTCGATCCTAACACTCTCTCACAGATGCCTCTCAGCAGCTCGGGGTATCAGTATGGAATTCTGCTAGCTACATACACATATTCCTTAGATGTAGGTAGACCTCTATATAATCTAGCGCCTTCTAGGGTTGGTACTAGGATATATCTAGATATTGCCAATGGTGTTGTTTCGCGGATGGCTAGGGCTGAATGTACGGGATGAAGCTGGAACCTTTTCTTATCAAGGAACATGTAGCTAACTGGTCGAAGGTGACGGAGTAGTCTCCGTACTTTGTAGCTACATGTATGTAGTATTGCTTTTCGGCTTCTACTGCCTATTATTTATGTTCACGCTCGAGGACGGGAACTCTATTTTATTCATATGTTGAAGACATGTATGTACATTACATGTAGTACATTTTAGATTGGCCGTGTAACCAGGAGCTCAATTGCATTTTTAGCCCTTATTCTTAATTTTACACGCAATTCTTTCGAAGTACGCTTGAATGATACTGCATATTGAAGTGATTCTCAAGTCTGATCATTCGGAACAAGTATGATGCTTTTTGACTCGATTCCCATTTGACTCCCGTTCCATCACCATCGCCCCCGCCCCCCCTCTCCTCTATCGATTTAGCTCTAGCTGTATATAGTCAGCGTTGAGAACACTTAAAGGCATTGCCCTTCGGACGCCAAAGAACTCATCTGATGTCTAGAAGCGTACCCATAGTAACTAAGGTGATAATGAACCAAATTTATTTTTTCTTCCTGATTGAAATATACATGTATAAGCTAGTAGAGCACTTTACAAGTCGGATACGATACATCAAAGAGTCCTTCAAATCTTCTCGCCAACTTCCTAGTTTTAGGTAAGCGTTCATGATCGGATGACTCTATACATGTAATTCAACCTGTCTATGTCGATCCCGAGTGGAAGAAGGTTCGAGATATGGCCATGATCTATAACCACATGCATGGGAACATAGTCTAGTCGTGAACTATATATAGTAAATGATCGAGTGCTCAATTTTTCATTCAAACTAAATAATTCGCGAACGGTCACTAAGGAAAATCTAAGTTCATAAATTGACTAGTACCAAATCTCATTTTGCATGCTTGGATTCTTTCCGGATGAGGTATCTTCGGGTGGGCTGTCGCACCGCACGTGAAGTTATTAAAATCCTCATCTGAAATACTATATATTATAGTGGAGGGGGCCCCTTCAATTGAATTATTTACGAGCCTATAAGGGCCGAACGGCTCCTACTTGCACCACTAGCCGTTCACGCCACTTCGGCAAGTAAATAGCCGAGTGATAACCTATGATTAATCATTGGGCCAGTGAATAATAAATATTACTAAAAAGAATCCGCTGAAATATATTCGTTAACGATTGACTTCCGTATTTACAGCCATAAATAGCAATGAACAACTTAAAAGAACAATAATACTATATGAATTGACCAATATCTCATGAGTGTTATACATTGATCCTAGATTAAGGTTCTCTGGGGCATTGTAACATTGCACTGAATGTCGGTCAACTCGCACGGCGGTATTTCATAGTAGTTTCTTAGAAACCCCCTTCTTTGCCCAAGATAAGCCTAGCCTATGCAAAATAATCTCCTTATCATTTTCCCCGCCATTCACCATCTCCCAAATCTTCCTCATCGCCTCTCTGAGATCCAAATCACTCGCTTCAAGCCCCAGGGCTTTTGCATAGTGTTGGTAACTGGTACTCGGGAAAAAGGTTCTATAGAGAGCCTTAAAGCCATCTGGGTCGCCCAATGTCTTCGGAAGACTTGAGTAATGATTTATTGCATCTCCAATAAAAGAATAAAGGGAACTGGTATCGAGCTTGGCGAAGTTAAGCTTTGAAATGCTCTCCGGGGGGCTAGATCTCTCTGTGGACGGCGATTGAGCCAACGAATCGGGCAAATTGGAGTCGAAAATCTTAGCGGAGCTCTGGCTGCGAGTCTTGCGAGTCGAGCTGGTAGCGATACGCGAACGGCCACGACCACGAGTTTTATGCTCGGGCTTTAGGATCTTTGTCAAAGTAGGGTCTAAGTTCGTAGTTGCGGCTGTAACGTCGAGAGCTTTATGATCAAGTTTCCTCTTTTTTGTATGAGAGAACTCTGGGGTAACTGATTCAATTTCTTCGGGGGGTTCTTCGTATTTCTGGCGCTTTCGCGGTCTTCCTGGACCTTTGCGCGGTGGATGAAACTGAACGGTAGTTTCTTTCTTTGAGTTGACCTTGGCAGAAGTATCATCACCCTGGGAATCGATGGGGGGTTTTGGCGAAAGGGAAACTGAAGAGAAGTTTAATTCCGGGGACCTTTTGTCAGATGCAACCACTATGGCCTTCTCCTTCTTTTGGACTTCGGATGTGCGAATGGAAATTTTAGAATCTTCGTATCGAGCCGGAGCTTTAGATATACGAGAGCTTCTTCTTGTTGTGGTGGTTGGGTTGAGCATTTTTCTGTGATTTGAGGACTTGCTGACAAGTAGTTCCAAGCTTTTGCCATTGGACTCCTTTGATATCGCAATTTTCGATAAGCCAGCACCAATTTCTCGCTGTCTTTGAATTTGAGGTTGTGACGAAGCCTTATCCCCCATTGCAGTTGTTCCGTCATGCGTTGAGCTCTTCATAGCAGATTCTATTAAACCCACAGCGGAACGACTATCTTGTGAATCGTTCTCGATAGCGATACTATCAGATCTTACTGCAGAAGACACTGGGGATTGGATTTCAGATTTCGGTGTCTTATTACTTTGAAATTCGTTGATGGTGGTGTCGGAGGTTTCAGAGGATGACCGACCGTCAGATTGGAGCTCGTTGGTTATTTCCATGTCAGAAATTTCGAGTGATATGGCGTCAGAATTCGTCATTGAATACGATTTCTTGATACTTTAGAGTTTAGATATCGTTAGTTGGGACCAAGAGCGAAATTTAATGGGTCTAAAGCGCGAGTTCCAGTATGCGTGCGAGTGTAGGTGTTGTTGTCGGGTTATTTAGCTACATGTATCTTTATGTCGAAGGTTGAAATGTCGAAGGTTGAAAGGAGAGATGGGGGATGGTGGGATGGTGGGATCTAGGAGGGATTTATAAGAAGCTTAGGGCTCAGGATTTGAACTTCGTTGAGCTGAGCTCGCCCTCGCGCTAAACAAGGCAATCCTGCGCTCAATCGGGCTTTGGAAGTGCGTGCCCCAAAATTAAGGTCCAATATGGGTTTTTTTTCACGTTCTCTAATTTGTTCCTAGTCTCACTCTGACTTATTCTACCCGAGCTTGTTCTCAACTTTGTTACAATTATACCTATAGCACTACAAACCTACATCACCAATATCACCGTAGCCGCACAGTCTATGGAGAATTATATATCTGATTCCGGTTGCTTTGGAGTATCGTTCCTCTTTAGTAATAGTATATGTATTAAATTCTCCTCACGACGTAATAATCAATAAGGGACTAGCCTCAATTCTAGGCTCGATACATGCTACATGTATCTCAAACGGACAATTATGAGGACTCTATGTTGACTCAAAATTATCTCGCAATATCGACCTATCCACTTTGTAAAGCTGTAGTTATGATCGCCCAATCTCGGGCAAATGCCGCTACCGAACCCTCCCACCTATGCCTACATAGCTTTTCTAATCCTTTAAATTTTAATTTGATAGACGAACAGTAAAGAATTCGGTGACAATAAACTATTTATCGCTGATTATTGAAAGGGTATGCGTGCGAGTATCTAAAGCTTGTACAGAATCGTTCCTGGCCTAGAATGCTAAAGGATCACAACCGAGTAACACCTAATGCACACTTGGTAGAAATCCTTAGGGGGCGGCTCTCTTTTTCTTTCCTCAATATAAACCAAATCTTCATCATCGCCATTTAATTCCCACGAACTCATCTACGATCCCTGATACTAGAGGCTAGGCTACTAAATATCATAGGATAGAGGAATAAGTATTACAAAAATATGAGGACTTTGAGTATATCTTAAATAAAGACTCGAGAACTTTCTATTTTAAAACTACATGTAGGATCGAGGACTATTGGCCGCTTTCCATACTATAAACATGTTTCAATACTTAGCGACGCGTTCCAGGGAGCAACCAAAATAGGTTAAGTGTTTTTCGAGTGAGAGTCTATGAAGAACCTCCGGTTACTTCAACTTAATTGCAATTGATGCCAACAGTCATCCTACAATGAAAAAGAGAATACTAGATCTTGTAAGATGTGGGGTCGGCAGTATGTAGCACATAGGTATGCATGTCGTTCATTCTTATCACGTATGGCGGCGTAACTGAAACTACATGTAGGTACATATGTACAGTAACTGTAGGGGTTCTTGATTATAGATCTAATCTTAGAACTCGAGTCTTGGCATTGTTATCTGATGAGTGTCTCGTCACTCCAGCAGTTTGTCCTTTGCTCCCTCCTTTCCTTCCATGTCAGGCTCGAAAATACTCACAACCAGCCATAGAACTTCGACGAGCGAGTGATTACTCACAGGGTTTCTAGGAGTGTTATCCGCTGCTACGGTGTTTCTTATCGCTGAAAAAAAACATGGCTACAGAAATTCAGATGGCCCCAATGCCCTCAAATAGCGCCGAGACCGAACACGAGATCCAGGAGTATTTGAAAATCATCAAGCTTCGCGATGAAATATATGCGGGAAAACACCCCCGCTTTAAACCAGCTTCGCAACCTGGATCAGTCTTAAGATCAACTGCGCAGCCTGCCAATTCGAGCTCTGGGACTTCAGCCGACAAGAACTACTCTTCAGGTGTATCGCGTAGTCAGTCGCAGGGTTGGCCTACAAACTCTGCTGGTCAAATTACAGAGAGCCGAATAAGTGACATTTTGTTGTCAAAGTCAGACGTGTTGGTAAATGCAGAAATAAAGCTGAAGAGGCAGCGAATAGAGAAGGAGTTAAAGAGGCAGGTCGAGGAGAAAAGACAAGTGACGATAGATGAGGAAGATCTGAATTTAGAGGAGGTAATGGAGAAAGTTGGACTTTCAGCGACGAGAAGTACTCGTCCTGGCAATGAAGACATGGATATGCAGACAGGAGAACCTGCACCAAGGAGAGTAGGAGTTCTCGAACAGGAGGAAAAACCAGAGGCTTATTTAATTGAAGCTCTTCGAAAACCACCTACAGGCCCAGCTGCAATGTCTACTCCGCGGGAACAAGATCAAGCTTCAAGACATGGAGACTCAGAAGCGAAATCTCATAATACGCGTGATACAATTCCCGAACGCGTTTACTCGCCGCCCGCACGACCTCATTATTCTGCTACGAGTCAACTTCGATCGCCCGCGGCGCCCCAGCCAGTCCGCCCAGCAAATATGGCCCGTGTAGAATCTCAGGATCAAAGAATGATAGTTGAGGTTGATACAGAGATTCCGTATGGGAGTGCCGGGAGACCTCCGTATAGAGGCCGAGTTTCACCGGTACCCTATATCAAACCCGAACCTGCATCTCCTGGTTATCGTGAGCCAGTGCCGCGAGTGCAGACTCCCGATAGAGGAAGACCCCCGAGCCGTGTTGGCCAATATGATACTGGGAGTCGGGCACGCTACGAATATCCATATGTTCCCCCAGCTGGTTATTATTCTGTCCCACCTGCCCCCCCTCTTGTACCAGCCCATCGTCCGTACGACCCTTATTCACACAGGGAAGCGGACCCATATGCATGCCCCCCTGCGCAAATTGATTATGCAGCGCGCAGATCTTATACGCCAGCATATGTGCCCCCAGTGGCATCAACATATCCTCCACGGCTGCCTTATGATGAATTTGACCGTAGGTATCCACCCCCACCTCCAGTACCTATACGTCAACCTTCACGTGTGGGAAGAAGATCTGCTTCACCCCCGGGACAGTATCGCCATACTCGCCACTCAAGTCGTTCTGTCTCACCTACCGAGCGTGGGAGGAGAGAATCCCCTCGGCCCGTTAATTCAGAGTATCGGCCACAGAGCAGGATGCCTCTAAGTCCTCCTCGTATCGACCAGTACGGTAGAACAATACCCCAACCACCTTCGGCTATTCAGCAACGAGGCAGTGAGATATATGCTGCGGAATATGGACATCCCTATGCTCCGCATCGTGAAAGACCAGCTTACGGTGATGAAAGGTCGCTCTACTATCAGCCTCAAGCTCCGGTTCATTATAATGAACCACCGAGACCAGAGAGCAGTATTGTAGCTCGGGAAGCGGAAGTGAGAAGTTACAGAGATAGAGAGTATTCTTATTCAACAGCAGCAAGACAATCTTTACCGCCACCTCCAATTATTGGGGGTGGATATCCTCCGCCACCGCTCGAATACGCCCGGGCATCATCCAGAGCAGCCTCCAGGGCACCTGTGGGGCTACCTACGGAAATTCTGGACTATCCTCGGGGAATTGGTGAAAGGGGTGATTATCATGACCGACCCCTTGCCAGGCCTGATGAGAGGGAACGGGATCATGGTGGACGCACAAGCGCTAGGCCTGATGAGAGGGGAGGGTACCTACCAATAAGGCATGCCAGTGCGCGACCAGAGATATCGAGAGGCTATGGAGAAAGGGAATATGCAGCAATCCGCCAACAAAGTGTGAGACCTGATGTGAGAAGAGACGACTCGAGGGAACAGTATATGGAACCTCTACCAATTACGGGAGGCTTTGCTAGGGATTCAGGGCAAATGCAGCCACCACCAAGGCTTCCCTATGCTGGAAGCGAGTATGGAGACTCTAGATATGGCCGGAAATATTGAGGTTTTTTTTTTTTGAGTTTTAGAGTTTTTCTTTTCCTCTGAGAAAAGGCAATGACTGCACTGTATGAGTACATGTAGGTGATGTCAGGGAAGAGACATATTGGTTGACTCAACCCGAGTGGTGATTGATATCTATGGCTAGTTATATCATATTTAGATGTTTACCAGGCTCCCAAGACTACCAATAATGATTACCTACCATTCTGCAGACATGCCTGGAAATGATTTCTAGTTTGTGTTAGCCAAAGTGAACAGTTCACGTGATCTCAAAGTACCAACCACAATTTGTGGCCCTGATCGAAGAATCGGCAACTACCGACGATTCAGAGCCGTTAAGTGGCTTGTGAGATTGAGACAGAGCCGCCGGGAACCGTTGGAAGCTTGTGTGAGTATCGATAACGACGCGACCAAAGATCGCAAAGCGAATTGTTTCGTTTGCGCCCCCGATAGCCCTTTAGGGACTTAAAACATATAGCGACTACGGTAGCTCTAAAGTACATGTGCCTAGGAACCTACAGTAAGAATACCAGGATAGGTTAACCTTCATAACATACATGTCTTTTCTCACGACAAACTCTACCATTTCCTCTATTTTCAAGGCCGTCCAAATCTCTTGCCACAAGGCATCGGAGGATCGGGAATACTCTGAGTGGTTGTCAAACCTTTTAACGAAAAGTGCACACTCAGTTTAGTCACGAGCTTCAAAAGCAGTGGTTTTTCGGTACAAATGGGAATGCAGAAGCTTTGAAATTGAGAAAATTCTCAGCAAGAACCTCCTTGTCGGGAGTCGTGTGATATCTATGACGGTCTCTCTGATGAAGTCCGAGGCGTGCAGAATATGTCATTGTTATGATTAAGCACAAGTGATGACAGTACTACATGTACATATGTAGTCAAGTCGCCTGCTGCCGGAGTCAAGAGAATTAAGCGGCGATTTTCTCAGTGGGGCTACCCAAGCTCAGTGGGAAACGTCAGGATTCCAGACTTCTTGAGCGGCAAGTTTTCTCGTCACCCACGATGGAGGGAAGCATAAGTGCCTCTATCGTATCATGTAGCTGCAGGAGGTTCCGCCGTTGCGTCTGGCTCGGTAACACAGAGAAAGAAGTCGTAACCGACGAACTGCTACAATCCAATGTCATCCATCCCCTTTCTCGCGTGGTTCCAGAACCAGGACATCAACCGCCAAGTTCTTGTTTTTCGTGATGGTGAATTGTGTGGTGGCGGTAGTGGTGGAAGTGATGGTGTTTACCAACCTCAGGTGGTGGTGGTGGTGGTGGCCTGTGCTTCGCGTTTGGCATTCACTGCAGATCTCCATTTCCAATTTCCACTTTCTTATCCACACCCTCACACTCACATCGCCCAGAGTTTGTCGTCTTGAGATCCTAATCATGATCATCCATCTCCCAGATCTCGTGTTAGCTTTTCTATATTCAATTCCCATCATTCCGCTGTCTCCTCGGCCTACAGTTACACCCCCATTCTTTGAACCACAGATCAATCAGAGAGAGCCCTCGGCTTGTTCGTACATACATGTATTTACCTACATATTGTACGCACGTGTATGTACGTGCATGTATGTACACACTACGCTGTACCCAAGAAGACCGCTGTACTTTTAGAAATAATTGTGTTCACTTTCATTAGCTTTGCCTGACACCCGAGCGCGTTCACTCACTGCTGCTGCTGCTGCTGCTGCTGCAGTGTCTGTATGGGAACGAACAGATACACTTAGGCCAGCCAAATCAGACAGACATACCAAGTGCATAAGAGGCGAACGAGGGAAGAGAAAGCTGTTCACACTAGTCAAAGTTTTATAACCCTTCCCTCCCTTTCTCGTCTTCTCCGAGCGCCGCTTCCTTTGGGCCCTTCCATCTGCCACCAACCACCAACTCGTACCCCCCCTCCCAATAAAAGACCTCCAGTTCGCTTGCCCCAATTTCTTCTTTCGCTTCCTTCTTATTCTTTCTTCCTCCTTCCCCTCTTCGTGTCGCCCCGCCTTCTTGTGTCAATTACGGTTATTAAAAAGCTCCCATCCGCGTTGTTGCTAGTATCAATCGTCACTGTTCGCTCATTATCACCCATCATCATTATCTAAGGTCTTGGGTGTTAAGAACCCCAACTTTGGAAACCAAATACCACCGTCACGCCCCACAAAGTCACCATAAATACTGTACCTATATCTGGTCCCTTTACAACCCCGAAAGTGTTCGATCCTCGCTTTCATCTTAAAGAGGGAGTGCTTTTGTCAGAAGTAGCAGTTCACGATGTTCAACGGCCACCACCACCAACATCACCATCATCACCACCAGCAACCGATCCATGGACTCCCACCAAAACCTGTATTCGACAACGGCTCGCCGCTCAGTCTCTCGCCAAGCAATAAGGGCCCAGCAAAATCCAAGGACGAAAACAACCCCGTTAGCTACTCTTTTTGCATTCCCTTTAGCATATTGCCAGGCCCGGACCCCGATGACATAATTACGGCAAGCCCGGGAGCGAAAGAGAGATGGATACAGTCAGCCGAACGTTTTAATGATATCGACACCCCTGCATACTCACTACCAATACACCAGGCGAATGTGGACACATTGAGGAAGTTGTGTAAAGAGATATCTGACGCATTGGAGTTCAAGTGCGAAGCGGCTTTGACGGTATCCGAGCCCCAACACGGTTCTTATCGACAGACCAAGAGGGGGATCATTACGAATGTATGGCTATCTGGTCATCCAGAGTCGGTGCTGCGGGCCAGAGGCGTAATTATGCAGAATACACCAGTCGCACTAGTAAGTTTGGCCAGAGGACCTCGGGGGTGAGAGGGAATAGGTTAGTAATAAAAACTGTTTGCGCAGAGAACAGCCTACGTGAACATTGATCGTGATCAAATTTATGATGATGAGAATGTCTTCAACCAAAATTTCTTTTCTCATCTAGAGCACACAGCGAGTTTTACCGGAACGGATATCTTTCTGTTGAAGACCCCCGGGATAAGCGCAGACGCTGCGGCGGCGGCAGATCTTGGAAATAGCACCAGCCAAAGTAACAGATTGCAAATCAAAATCTACGGTGACTATGAAAGCGTTGAGCATGCAAAGACAAGAGTCCTTGTCGCCATTGACGATCTGGTAAGCACATAACACGATCTCAACCTCACGGCATCGATCTTATTTACAATTTTTTAGCTGGGCCAAGTCTTAGATACTACAATGGTCGAGTTATCCACGCAATCCTTAATATGTGGTCGCGGGAGAAAGAACATCAAGCACATTGAATCGCAAACTCGAACGGCAATATACTTCCCACCACCATTCCCCCGTATCTATGGCTACAGACCCCCTCGTGCTACCTCACGAGACCCGGATCAGGTATTCATCACAGGTAGCTGCCGCGAGGACATCGCCAAGGCCGAAAGAATGCTTGTCAATATTGTACGGTTAATACTTAATTTACTTGTAGAAATGATTGCTGATTACCACTGTAGCGTCGTGGCCTAAGACTTTACGTCAAGGACGTCTCCATCACGATGACGAAACTTGATTACCTTCTCCTTGAACGTTTGGATGACATCAAGAAGATTATGGAGGCGAACGCAACTTATGTCCAATTGCCACGCCTCGGATCGTTGGGACAACGGGATGTCTGCATGAGGATCCAAGGAACAGAAACCCTCAATATTGAGCGTACAGTTCGATCAATTATGGCCATCTGCGGACAGTATTATAATGCTACCTGGTGGATGATCCCTCCAGACATGCACCATGGCGAACTTACTTCGTTACCGGCGCCACAAGATCTCAGAAAGATGATTACCGATATTTCGGCATTTAGTGGGGCTGATATTGCTTTTAACAAGCAATCATTTGATATGTGTGGTGTAGACGACTGTGTGAAGATCGCTATGCACATTTTGAGTGAAGTGCGCCTCGTCAAGCAGTATCCGTTTCAGACCCGGGTAAAGATTGAGCTTGCCAACGAACACAAAGAATTCGTTTCCGGAAAGAAGAACGGCAAAATCAACAAAATCATGGGCCAAGCTGGTATACAAATAGTATTCGACGCCTTCAACGAATACAACTTCTTCATTGATGTTGTTTCCAATAATTTCGAGCAAGCAGCATTAGGCCTGCATTTGGTCGAGCATGAGCTTCCGGCATCAGTGTCTTTTCATGTCCCAGATTCTTATCACAAGCGCATCATAGGGATCGGCGGGCAACATATTCAGAGGATAATGAAAAAATATTCAGTTTTCGTAAAGTTTTCTAACGCAATGGAAAGAGGTTCTGCAGGAAGAATGGAATCCGATGATTCCAAGGTAGACAACGTCGTCTGCAGGACACCGGCTAGAAACGCAAAGAATTTGGAACTGGTCAAGGCGGAAATTATGAAAATGGTTCAACAGGCTGATGCTGAAATCGTGGAGGAAAACGTCATTGTGCCACGGTTACTCCATCGACCATTGATGGCACAACGTCAAATATTTGATGATCTCGAGGCAAAATGGGGGTGCTCGGTCATATTCCCGAGTACTGAATCAGCGAGCGATGTGGTAAAAATCAAGGGTCCTGAGTGGCAAATCCCTCAGGCTGTTCATGAGTTCTTGGTATGTGCACTTCTAAAGCAGCAACATCCTCGCGGGTTTTATCTAATAAGTTTAGTCTCACGTTCCCGAATCTCATAAAATTCAACTGTCGAGATCGAAACAGCTCGAAGATCTAATTCATGGAGAAGCGATCAACCACCAAGTTGCTGAACCTATGCGAAGGCAGTTTGGAATTGAAATGAATTTTGAGCGTAAAGAAAACTACGCGAAAAACCAAACTGTATCTTTTACTTATACCAGGAATAACGCAGGAGGTGTTCGAGATGCTATAGATATGTTGACAAACTTTCTTGTTGCAAATGGCGTTGATGCAGAACCGGTCAATGGAGCACTTCCGCGCCCAAAATCAGACTCTTTTGAAGATTATGCACCATTCTTTGAACAACGCATCCTTCAAAAGACTTCACCCGTCGGATCGCTTGGTTCCACCACTGCTCAAGGTAACCGACTTTCGGTAGATATGGGAATTTTGGGAGGACCTATCCACGGCGAGCCAGGTCCGTTGACGGAGGAAACTGAAGCTGCTTTTTATGAGGGAGCTAGGAAGGCCTCTATTGTGGCTTCGGCTACATCATCTGACGCCGGATCTGCTGGGATGTCAGCACCAGGAAGTGCCGTGAGCTCAAGTGCTCGCTTGGCCAATCATCAGAGGAGCGGATCTATTGCTTCGCTTTCTGGATGGGATGGAATCCCTGGGCCATTACTTGATGGCGAGGATTGGACGAAATTGGAGGTTAATGATACCAGGTCAAGATCTTCTTCTGTGGCCGCGCCTTATATCTGATATACCCACTTTCCAACTTTTTCTCTTCTACTTATTTCATTTTTCTTTTTGGCGTCTAAGTCTCTGGGTGGGGGATTGTTTATTTACGGTTATTCCTTTTGTCTTTATGATACCATCCTGGCCTTAACATGTCACTGTGTTCTGGCATGGACATTCCCTATGTGCCTTCTTTTCTGGATTACGTCTCAAGAGGTTTGGGATGGTTTACTTACAATATCTTCGTCTTTTTTTTTATCCCCCTCCTACCTCTTTCCTTTTCGTATTTTATTTTCCGACTCACGGATATTTCCCCAAATGGGGTAGTGAAGTTTTATGTTTGGGTTTCATCAATGGCGCATCATTACTTTCCCCCGGGGAAACAAAAGGCGATAGAACAGGGTACGAGAGTTGTGTGTATTGAGCTGCGTTGGCCATACATGTAGTTATTTCGTTTTGGCAGTGGCAACCAAGTGGAACTTTGTAAATTACATTCTATGGCAAGTATATTTTTGGATATCATTGGTTGGTGGGAAATAAAAATTTATATCCCCCTTGGCTTCCTGCAGTTACACTTCCCCCACCCCACACTCCCAGCAATGCGGAGAACATCCTCCAAGAAGACTTCGACTATCCCCTACGGCACCACGCTATGAGCATCCCGTGAGCTAAGAAAGGCACCATACATGTAGGATAGTCCTTGTCTTCGTCATGGAATATCACTCGGCTATATCATTCTCTCTGGATTAGGCTGACTATCAGCCTGTTACTACCGAATAAGCTTGAAGGCTACTAACTCGAGCTTAGTTTGTTTAATTCGTATGATAATATTAATTGCAAGTCATAAATTTTACCGAGTGATATTCCATGAATGTGCTTATAAATTCTCAATTCTAGTTGATTCGCTCATCCAATCCAGGTGTGGCCCATCCGGGAAGTAAAATAACTGCCCGGGCCAGTCGTGGCGTAAGAGGCGTATTTTTCGGCTACATATCAGCATTTTTCAATGGCTTATCGCTCATACGTACTGAGTAATCATATACGAATCACATCTAGATTGGTTATCAGCAGGTTTTGGGGTGGATTTTTTTTTTTTTTTTTTTTTTTCGATAGTTGGGGTTGCAGAATAAATGGCATTTTGCAGCCAGATTTAAAGACATAGACGGGCCTTCCAGGATCAGTTGCGGACTAACCAACAAAAAAAATCTCATTAATGGTGAAAGATGCATATTTGGACGTCCTGGCTTGCACTGTTAGTTGGTAACGGTTACGCGTGTACCTACGCAACAAGGCAACGAGACAACCAACAGCACGGAACCCTGGAAAATTGACCCTAGAACCTTGAAACGCGTTCTTACTATGATAGTCGTCTTGGTGTAGCTTTTAGCTGGTTTGGCTGCTCTGGAAGATCGCTTTACGAGCATGTGATCCGTGGTTGAGGTTTCCTGTTACCACGACTCCTGATGATTCCGCATAAATAAGGTAGTCATAAAAAGCGTTGAACATGGCTCGTAGCTATGATTCTGAAGTATCGGCCAACACTGTAAATGGCAATATAACCAGAGTGAGGCTTTGATGATAGGTAATGTTTGACAAAATAAACGCTATTCTCGAAAGAATCAGATAATTGGGGTTACAGCAAAAATTGTGCACTGTCTCATTGGCTATATTACTCCACGTGTAATCTCCCTACGCATGAAGGGTGCGTGCGTGTCGATACTCTACTCTACTCTACCTGTACAGTCTGTACTCTGCCCTAGGTTAAAATGTAGGTATGTACTCTACAACCACTGCTGGGCATGTTGGGAGTTGGTCAGCCATTGGAAAATCCACTAAAAAGCAAAGACGCCACTGTATTGGCTGGTTGTCACCCCCCCACCCTTGGAAAAAGCAATAATTATAATAGGTAGGGCTGATAAGTTTATGGCTCAATATGTATGTAACCATTCTACCAATGTATTCGCCATAGATGTCTCGGGAAAAAGTATGTCTTGGAACACTTGCCTGAGTATATGTCTACAACATGCTGCTTTTAAGATTAGGTAACTGTACGGTTCGTACGAACACAGTCAACTCCATGCCAAGATATTATGTGCAACTGCTATGTGCAGCCTACTGTCCCATACTTTCAGAGTAGGTAGGTATCGATTGTTGCCTTTAGACGGAGTCATGCCACTTATTGATCCCGGCCCCGGCAACGATTGCGCCTAATTCGTACCTACAGATCCCAGCTACTTGGACAGCGGATTTACTGACATGGGAAGGTCTGCAGGGAAGAAACGAACAGTATGTCGTATCCTAATGCTTTATATAAGCCTGTGTAAATATCATAAAGGCCAGAAGACCGACTTCGGCACCGGTTATGGCTGAGTGTTGAAACTGCAAACCCTATATCTAGTTAAGAACAAGCGCCGAGAAGGTATATTAGTAACAGTTATGTGTTTCTTCTCTTGTGAAATGAGTGAGAAGTCTAGGCTACATTCGCGGGCCCGTGAATGGGAGCTATCTAAGCTTCTGGGCGAATTCGTAGTGCGACTGTTAGGCCGTTGATAGCTCTCCCTGTATCACCCCGGGAACCGTTTGAAGTTTGTTTGGATACTTTATTTGAAACAGCGACGGTTGTTTCGTCAGATGTGACAGATGAGATTTAACAGGATGGTGGAATCTCTGACAGTCGGGATATGCATCCAACCGAAATTTAACACTTGATCTGTATATTTTGTCGATCTTTAATATATGTTGCGGATCAGTAACGGTGAGTTCAGTATGCAAACGTGGAGCCCGATGTAATGTGCGACTGGTTTTTGCGCCCGCAATAAGAGTGAAAAATCCCAAATTGTGGCACTGGCTGGTAGAAACGCTGATTACCTATGAGTAATTAACTAAATTTTTCCCTTTCATTGGAGCGTTTTCAAATCGGGGGATCCTTGACGATCCTCAGATCGTGGCGCGTGTTGCGTTATTTGGTGCACACTCGAGTGGACAGGAAAGAGATTCACTTTCGTGATACCAGGACCTGAAAATCGTAGGCACCAGAGACTCAGAAAGGTACTATGATAAGCTTGGCATATGTTTATGCTTTATAGCTGTAGAATGGAACAATTAAAATAGTAATCTAAGCCCTACACTTACTGTAGTGCTGCCCCATTGAAACCGTTTCTCCGAATTATACTCAGTGCCTCTGAAAGACGCGTCAAACAAAATGGCCACAGCCGTTTGAGTGTCTACCGAGGTTTAGGCGCGAGTTGCACGAAAAGGCTGTCTAAACTTCAGAAGAAGGACTTCAGCTAGTCGGCCAAGAAGATTCCCGATCGATTGCGTTGATATAGATATGTAAGTAGCCCCTGGATTCCTGGAACGGTGGAACGTGCTAGTGTTGCGAACTCGCTTCATGGTCCTTCCGCACTAGCGTCTTAATTTCACCTCCAGCAATGACCAAGCCCGAAAGCTCAGGTAATGGAAATTTCAGGTACACACACACGCGCGCGCACGCAGGCGGGGAGGTGGGGACATGGGGGGTATTCATGATATCGATAATGTGGATAAGTGAGGCACAGAATACCCATGATGCCTTAACAGAAGCACAAAAGGCGGGAGGAGCACGAGGAAGGAGAGGGGCGGTTGTAGTTAGCTATTAATAAGAGGGGTGGTGATCTTCTATCAGTCAATCAGGGCGGGGCCAAAGCAAAAAAGGGGCATGGGGGACGTTCCATTCGGCAGTGGATGCTTTGCCATTCTATTGAGGAACACGTTTTCTGTGAGATTTGAGATTGAAAGGCTCCTCAGATAAAAGAATGAGTTGTGAAAAGCTGGGGGCTTTCTTGTATGTAGCATTCCTCCATCGACAAAGACTTCCCTTGCAAGTTCAGACCCCTACAACAACCCCATCAGCCGATTTCTGGACCAGAGCTCTTACTTTACACTTAAGTACAATCCAAGACCACGGTCCAGAGAAGAACCAAGAGTGTCGGGACAGAAGGAGCAATAGGAAGAGGAGCACCCAGCAACAGCAGGATCACTACCCTAACTGATTCGGCCGTCGACAGCAAAGGCGACTGCATACACTGCATACCTACACTGCATACAACAAGCGAGAGCTGCTGCTGCTGCTGCTGCATTGCTCAGGGAGAACAAGCAAGGCTCCACATAATCGCACCTGTCCGTCCAGTGCGCTTGAAGCCTGTCCCTCTCCTGTAGCCGTAGCTGTAGCCGTGGTCGGTCCGCTAGACTGGAAACCCGCACTCAACCTCCAAAAGAAGAAGTAGGCGGCTGAGCAGATAGACATCGCGGCTTTCTACGTGAAACCCCGTCCCTGACCACCACACCAATCTCCAATCTCCTCCGCCATCATCAACGACGGGAATCCGGGGGCGACACAGGCAGGCCAAATTGTTCTCCAAGTTGCAGTTCCATCACTATACGTTTTTCCGTATCCTTCACTATACATTCACACTCACAAATCACCCTTTGTGTGCTCACCCTCCGTTGATCCCGGTATTACGAATTCACTTTCCACCCAACACCCCCTCCCCTTCAGAACACTCACACGAACGAATACCTGCTGGAAATCTGTTTTTGTTCGTAGAGGAATCGAAATATATCTTACCGGTATCGTGGCTCCAGACGGGATACCGCGATTTAACGACTGTGGTATATTAAGAGGACGAACAGTTTGTGGCAGTTATGGAATCTCCAGATCACGATCATGAACCCGAATCACCAGTCACAGAGGATGAGGACTCTTGTTTTCCGTGCAAAGGCTGTGGAAATGTACGGACCGACTACCATGATAAAAAAAAAGTTACTTACTAACGGGCGAATAGATTCTAGAAGAGGGGAAAGCTTTCGAGCTATGTGAGTACATCTTGATCGATCCAAATTTCCGCAGTCATGGCCCTATGATCTCTGGCTAACAACATCGCAGCGGGGAACAGATGGCATATCGATTGCTTCCGGTGCAACAAGTGCGACACGCTACTGGACTCGGATGCTAACTTGCTGTTGCTGGGTGACGGCTCCCTGAT